GACTAGTGTGGCTGATGCTGTCAGATGTCTAGATGTGTGTTTACAATTCAGCTCTGTAAGCTTGTGTCAGAAGTAACAATTCCCTTACTCTTCCATTTGCAAACCATATTCTTCCATTTGCATTCTGGTTTTTGTTTCAGAAGATTAGGGAACCCATCCTCTCTTCAAACAAAACATTGGAAATTGCCCACTGTGCTCTGGAAGGCTCTGCCTGTCTTTCCAAACTTCCTTGTGAGTTCAGGATTTATGCAATCATTAGCAAGCACCAAATTCTAATCATCTGTAAGAAGCAAACAGTGTTCTCTTGTATTTACTATTTACAATATCTGTGAAGTGTCCTGACTTCTAGGATATCCCTTCCCTGGCATCTCTGCTATGCCTGTAGGGATATAGGCAATACCCCAGAGCACCTTCTCCTCATGGGTGAGTAAGAAAATACAGTGACCTACTGTGTGGGAGCAGCTGTGTGAGGCTCTGGGCTGAAAGGAACTTGCATACTCCTCAACAGCAACTACAGGTGCTTCCTTGTCAAGCAACAGGTATATGAGGGTGTCTTGTGGCTTTGCTTGCAAGAAGGACCTTTATTTGGAAGAGAAAATGCAATTTCACATGTTGAGGTTTCAGAAAAAGTGAGAATACCAGAGGCTCAGTACTTCGCTGAACCTGTTTATGAGGTGCCAGTGCCAGTGCTTCCATAAGGATGTCTTGAAAAGGTTTCATGGCCTCTTTGAGATCCTATCTGGTTCCTATAGGCAGATTTAATGGGGAGTGATTCTGCAGCCTCCCCATGTACTTGGTGTACAGGGACATGGTGGTGCAAAGCCACCACCACAGCATGACTTCTTCTGTCCCCAGTAGGCTGCTACACTGACATGCGGCTTCCAGTGAAGATAACGATGTCAGTTCCTAATCACATTAAAATAGTCATCTCTTCCCCCTCCCACCCTTCTGAAGGAGGTAAGGGAGGTATTTTTAAAAGTGGCACTTGTTAACGGTTTTCAAAGATATCAGCTCTACTACTTGGTTTGCTCTGCTGCTTTGTTTGCCTGGACTGTATTTTTTTAGAAAAAGATTGTGTCAAAACTAGAAGCAAAATATTAACTGTAGAGGCACGATGGGTCATACCCAGTTGCACTACAAAGAACAAGAATGTGTTCAGCTCTCAGATCGCAATTGTTAGCAGGCACAGGATTCACATCTCTGTTACCTCTGTAGGCTCTTCTCTCTAGACTGGCTTTCCTTTGATGGCTTATATTTGAAGTGTCCAGTGCTCTATCTTCTCGTATTTTCTATTGATTTTGCTCTCTTGTTCTAGTCCTTTATTCTCCTGTGGGTCTTTTCCTTCCATTGCATCCCTCACCGATCTGAATGAGTTTCATGTGTTACAGCATCCCTGGCCAGCAGGGCTATTTATGTGCACTGAATATCTGCAAAATCGAAATACATGTGCTCTGAATAATCTCTTGGATGAAGCACAGTAACCCCAGATTTCTCAGAAACACAAATCTCATGGCAGCTTGCGAGCTTCAGATTCAAAGCTGGAGTTGTCCTTTCCTAAATGTATCAGTGTTCAGATCTGGGATTATCTCTATATCAGCAGTATAAAAATAAGCAAGCAAGAAAATCAACGCCCTTGTAAGTTTAATTTTGAAGTTCTTAAATAGTAGGAATGAAAAATATAGAAGTCTGTCCCTCTGTCTGCCATCGTTGCTTTTCATTACCCTATTTTTGAATGAGAGAATCTTACTTTCAGCCTAAAATATGAAATGAAAAATAGATTTGAGAATGAGATAGGGAACTCAGCCTTCTCACAAGTGTCTCTTCTGTCTGTGCTGTTGGTTGGCTTCCAGATACAGTTTGGCTCTACCTCAGTCTCAAAGGGTGGAGCCTCACACAACTTTGAATCCTGGCAGTGTACATGTTTGCATGTAGTTGGCAGAGTAAAATAGGCTTCTCTGGGGGGTGTGTTGTCTTACTGTGAGGTAGACTATCATGTGTGTTACTTTGAAGGTCTGTCATACTTTGGGACCCGTTTCTAGCAGAGAAAGTTTGGCAATTCAGCACAGATACGGTGATTTATATTCTGGTCATCCAGAGTTGATTCCCACTACGTCCATGAGGAGGGGGTGGTTGGGGGGAACTGAGTGCAGGGTGTCTGCTGTGTTTCCTCTGTTTGTGTGGACTTCATGAAAGAGTGCTTGGTATCTGCTTGTCAGCACAGTAGTGCAGTGAGAAGAACAAGGTTCTGCTCTGCTAAAGAGCCCCAAAGTGGATGTTTGTGCCCCAGAGGGCGCTTGCATGCTAGTAACAAGGGTACTGGGTGCATCTGAACTGGGGAAGGGGCTCTTACCTAAACTCCTAAACTTAACAGTCTAGCTGACACCAAGCTGCTGGAGGGCAGTTTGCTGCACTAGTATAAACAATGGTGAGCAAGAAAAGCCTTGGATAGTCCCTGCTCACGGTGCCAGGGCTACACTTCTGACAGCGTTTGAACCAGCAAGATTGAAGCTTGCTGGAGTGAGATAGGTGGGTGTGTCTGCACAGGCTGCCTGTGGGGAGGTGTGGCTGCACTGCCAAGTGACCAAGCGCTGTGTTAGGCAATGAGGGAGGTAGGTGATTTCTGCCCACACAAACTTGCCAGTTCCACTGAAAATAAGGACAAAGGGACAAAGGACTGCTAGGGAGTTTAGAAAAACTGTTAAAACGAGGCAAACCTCTTCACTTCTCTCCCCAGGTCGCTATCCACAGCAAAACAAAGGCACCTACATCCCAATCATAGTAGGTAATGTGCTGAAACCAGGTGAGTGGGGAGCCAAGATTATTCATAGGGAGAACAACTCCATTCGCCTGTCCATCATGTCCTCTGCCACCTGCATCATTGGGAAGTTCCGCCTGTATGTTGCCGTCTGGACTCCCTTTGCCATCCTTCGGACACGCAGAAACCCTGCAACCGACACGTACATCCTGTTCAATCCCTGGTGCCAGAGTAAGTACCTTACCAAGGGTTCACACTTTCTGCTGCTGAGCTCATCAGGTTTTGGGAGGGGGTGGGTCCAGGAAGGACAACTCGGTACTAAGGAGTTTGGAGACATGACAGTTTGGGTCTGGAAATTTTACATAAACTCCGCCAAGAGTCAAGAGTTTAAGGCTGGAGAATAGCCCTGTGTGAGCAGGGCTCCAGGCTGGAGACCAGTGCCTGTGCTGTATCGGCACTCTGCAGTTTTATGAGGCCAAGCCTGTGTTTACCAGTTTGGGCTCCATTTATTATAGTAAACATACCCCAAGGCTTCACTCTGACTTGAATAGGCAACAGCATGAGCCTCCTGCCTGCCTGTGTGTGCTTTAAACTCACAAGTCAATATGGGCATATCTTTTTTGAGGATTTGGTGTAGGGCAAGATGTGGCAGCCTCCCATACTTTGTTGACTTACATCATAGATTGCCACACTTAGGACTGAACATCTGCAGCCAAATTGCAGGAATTCAATGGGAGCTGCTCCTCCTGCACAGGCTGGGTGGAGTCAACTTGCTGTGGCATCACTGATAGTACCTTCCTACTGCTACATGACATTTACCCTTATAACTTCCCCTTTATTGGTGACTAATTAGCAACCATGGCCTCTGTGAGGAACAGAACATTTTGCAAATGAGCCATTTTTTTATAGTACAGTGGGTTGAAGAACAATTAATTTTTTTGAAATCTTCCAGGATCATGGGGAAAACATCAGGCCTTATGCTGACAAGATTGTATTTTACCCAATGAACTCCATGTGTGGCTTTAAGGAGAGGGCAAGAAAGACCAGAGAGGTTTGATTCAGCCTTCTTACAGGCTGTAGCACTGTGTCTCAGCTTCTGACACTTGTAAGGCTCCAAGTCATATGTATTGCAATATATTTAGGTCACCAGCTAACTTTAATATTCTTCTGCCACCTTTCCTTCATCTTTCAATTTTTTACCAGAATATTTGCATCAAATAATCCCATACCAAACAAGGGCCATCCTACCAAGTGACAAGTAAATTTAGCATTATAAATAGAGTCCATTACATGGAATGATTTGTGCTGCATTCATTACTTGCCCCTAGTCCAAGGGAATAGAAGCAATAATTAGCTTATGCATTATTTAAGAACATATATGTTAATGCTGAATAAAGAGGAGTTAGTTAAGTGGGAACAGGAGGGAAGGGCAGGGCCCGGTGTGCCATGACACTGTAAGATATTCCTGAAAGCAGTGTAGAGGTAAGATACCTTAGAGCAGCATGCTAACAGTTTGTTCTGGGAGAGGAGGGAGAGTGCGCAACAGAAAGAGAGGAATCACTGCCAAATTACGATCCACTGTGAGGAGACAAAACTGCTCAAGGTTTGTGTTGGCATCATCAGCCTCTCACAGCTTCAGCCAGGGAGGTGCAATTTTCCACCTCAATGTAGAGCAACACTTGGTTGTGGTCCTGGATGTTGTAACAGTCAGTTTGTTAGCCTGTATGGTGATTCTGCAGTGGTTCAGCACCTCTTTGGAAAAGGATAAACCCCAAAGATAAAGCTTCTTAAATTGCCTCAGTTTGCCTCATGATTAGCAGACAACCAGCTAGGGCTGCATGCAACCTTATATGGAGAAAAGATGTGGTGTATGGGGGTTGGCTACCCCACTGCGGTGTGACTGCGGCTGATTTGAGGTGTTAGTCAGACATAAAAAAAGGGAAAATCAATCCCTACTTCACATCTCCTTCCCCACCAGCTCTGTGTGCTGAGTGATCCACCTCTGTCCATGGCACACAGGCACTTCGCTCTCCTGTGCCCTCCCTCCTTCACCTGAGCTGAATGGGGTCGAAAGCCAGCGAGGTTAAAACAAGGGAGCAAACCCAAAAGGAGCAAGATGTGCAGCAGTTGCTTCCAGCGGCAGGCGTTGCCAAGGCCAGTGGAAAAACTCTGCTTTAGGAAAGCAAAACAGAGTCTCTGGGCAGCAAGGACTGCTGTGTGACCCCAGATCCAGGGGAGGCAAGTCAGGGACCACATTTTCATCTGCAGCTTACATTTTAAGGTGTGTCTCAATGGCTTCAGGTGCTATCCCTTGCTGACTATTGTAGTTTTTATTTCCTGCATGTTTCATTTCGATTTGGATTTATTCTCATTTCTTGTTCCTACTTTTACTCCTAGGTAGTTTGAGCTAATTAGCTCCTATATCTGCCTTTTTCCCCTTTCCTTGTAATAGAAAATCAAGGACTGTTTCTCCACGCTTTATCCTCTGGCTGGAAAAGATTTTTCAGTGTAATGACAAAAGGGTAAAAAAATTCAGGCAGTTAAAGCGCAGAGAAAACAATAGTTTGAAAATCTTCTAGACTAGTTTGCTGGGTTAATAGCCAAGCAGAAAAGTCTGAGTGAAAAGCCTCATTAAAAAGAGAGAAGACTGATGCCAGAAATGAATGGGGATTGTTATAGCAGGGAGCAGAGTACAGGCTCAACTGCCTAGTGCAGCTTTCCAACTCATCATTTTGGAGAAACATCAATATGTCGGTATGAGCTTTTCTTTAAGACAGAAGCATTTGTGCCCTTTCTTATTACTTCTTTTCTCACTATAGTTCAGTTTTGACATATCTTCCCAGACAGGGATGTTGGGTTTTTTTCTGCTGTTTCAGAATAACTTTGAATACCGAGTCTAGCTACAGAGTACTTTGCTTCCAAAATCATCAGATGCTTTTATATTTTAATCCCCTTAGCTACATTTAAGGTTGATCACCAAGAATACCTTAAAGATGCAGGGCTTGGTCCTGAAAAATTAAATACACTGGCCCCAAACCTCAGTGAAATTTTCATTACTTAGTAAGCAACATAAAGTCTGGGAGGAAAGGCAGCATTCTTTCTTCAGCCAGCTGACATAGTAGGATAAAACAAATGTGCTTTTGGGCATGCAGAGCCCTCTTCAGTTGAGGAACAGAGGATACAAATGGCAAGTAGTTAAGAATAACTTCTTCGAGTTTAACTAAACTCTTGGCAATATCAGACTACATGAAAGCAGAGAAGAACTCCTTTGATCTGGATACTGCAAGCTCTTTCCAAGAGTCCCAGCAACTTTCTGCTGGGGAACATTTAGTGCTTATCAGGAAAAGACCTTGTGTTGACTTCTGTGGCTCTTTCACAGGTGGAGATGTATAGTGTAGCTGAGTAAGTTGCAGACTCTGTGGGTCCCTCACCCAAGTCTCATGCAAAGTGTATTGTATTTAAGCAATTAAATATATTGCAACTTTATTGAGTCAGTTGCACATTTCTTGTGCTTAAATGTCCTAATACTGTTTAAGGATTAGTAACATGTGGTTGACTTTTGGACTCCTCTCACGTTACTGGTCATCCAGATTTGGCCTAATAATATTTTCTTGCATTTATAGCTAAATCTTAAATTTGATCATGGGGCCTCTGGTGGTCTAGTGGTTAGGGTGCTGGACTCTCACCGCTGCGACCCGGGTTCGATTCCCAGCCCCCCGGGCAGATGGAGCTCGTTAGCCCTGTAAGGCAATCCATCTAAGAGAAGGTCACTCTAAACAAACCTACGTCCTGGGGACCTCACTGACACTGTCCAAGTTTGCTTGGCCCCGGCAGATGAACCTCAGGATTAAAGGGTGGGCTCAGTTCAGCGCACACTGGGTCTCACCTAAAAAATCCACTGCGCAGGCTCGAAGGGTTAATGACCTTTCCCAAATCTTCGCTCGCGAAGACTGGCCATTATTATTAAATTTGATCTCTTGTGTCATAGATTCCACGTGGGCAAAATTCACACAGAGCTTCATCCTTTTGCTACGTTAACCTAGGCAAGCACTATCCAAGGCAGCAAAATAATCTTGATCGGGTAGAGTGTTTTTTGTAGATAACTGTGTTTAGCTCTTGCAGCTCTGGGTTTGCCACAGCACTGTCCTCTTCCCAGCATGATCCCTGGCAGGTTTGTGTTTCCACTGAGGCCCAGCCTTGCATGCCTGGATTCCTATGGGAGCACGTTGAAGGGAGGCTGGGAGCCCAGGGCAAGGCTGCTGCTTCCACCTCTGCCCGTCTGCTGGTGCTGCTGTGCTCAGCCGTTGCTGTCTGCATGAAGAAATGGCTTTTCCAACTCCAGAGGGTTGCCGTTCTGGGACTGGGGTCCTACCATACTGGGTTGAGTCCTCTCATGTTCATTCACCTTCCCAAATTGAAAGGATTGCTCTGCATTCCTCATATCTTTTACAGGGAGCCAGTTTTCAGTAGGAATCCTCGCCTGCAGTGCTGTCTTCGTGTGAAGTGTATTTTCACCTTACCCAAGTTCAAATAGAGAAGCATAGAAGCTAATTTGCTTCTTTGTAGCATTGCTAGTGTCTTAGTAAATTCCCAGGATAAAAGAAGTGAGTAAAAAGCCCCTTAAACTGATAAAGAACAACAAACAAACCTAGCACATTTCCATGGAATTCTTCTGTTTGTCAGATGTGAGCCTCCACTTGCACAAAATAATTAGGAGTTGTACTATGTAGAGCATACTTAGCATCAAAGTAGTCACAAATGCCTCATATTTTCTTCTAAACAGTCTCAGGGGTAGTGAAAGCTGTCAAAAATCAAAGCAGCTGGCATCTCTGTGAAACACAGAAGACCTTTTTACCTTATCAAAAACACAAATATTTAAAATAATCGACAGAGAAGTTAATCAATTTTCATCTGATTTAGCAAAGATCATGCAGTCTCAAAATAACATAAGCATCTCAATTGATACCAACAAGATCAATGTTGATATTTTTAATCCCCTAAAGAAAACAACAGCTGTCAAGAAGGCATATGCACACACTCCACTGAATGTGTAACTGCACAGAAGAAGGTGTTAGCTCTAGTTCTTTAAATGCATTCTCTGTGCTATTTGTATGGACAAGTTTTAATAAAATCCAAAGCTCAGTGAGAGAATGCAAATAATCATTCAGTGAACAAGTCAGGCAGATCCACCCTAATGAAACAGAACCTAGATGATCTGTAACATCTGCAATAATTTTTAGTAGGATCCTATGCAGAACTTATTGGACCAGAAAAAAGGCCATGCTTGCATAAATGACTGCAGTTGTCAAGTTCTAACACTCTCTTTCACCTCATAGACTCTGAATATAATATACCCTTGATCATCCACTGGGCACCTGAGTGCAGGTTGACTAGGTCATGGGTAGTGACAAACCCATAAAGAAAATTCTTAACGGCCTAGCCTTTAGAAACCAGGTGAATACCACCACCCTGCCAAATATAAGAGTGGGTCTCAGACCTGCCTGCCTCAGGTAAAGCTCCATAAAACCTGCTATTCCTCTGCTTGCTCAGAGTCAGTCAGAGCCTGTACAGCAGCTGTCAAAAGCATAAAGAAAGCTGTGATCTCCTCAAACACACTAAAGGCTTCTTGTATTTAATACCTGCTTCTCTATCGCTCTTTGCCCATCGGTGAAGATCTTTATGTTACATATCTATGCATACTTCCTTATGTATGTATAGACATAGAAATATAAATATATCTTCAGAGAAAAAAAAACCTTTCAGCAGGGTCAGGTGTGTAGATTGGCAAAGCCCTTCACCTAACTCAAGCCTATGTGAGTTTTGCCTTTAATTTTTTTGGAGGGCTTAGATTTTAGCTTATTTTCAGCCAAATTGCAGTTTTATGGGTAAATGAAGACACTTTTGGGAATGACGTTTACAAGGAAGTACAAATCTGATTTGCATTTCAACAAAATGCAACAAATCAATAGGCTTTTAAAAGTTAAATGATCCTCTAGTAATTTGTAGTGGGATGCTGAAGAAATCTACTATAGCAGTAGTGAGTGGTAGTTTTGTACTTGCTCATATCAAACTGTCAGAAGTTATTGCTTGCTTTAATTTGCTGTCTGGTACCACATTACTGATTTCCTCAAATTAATTAATTCCCATGCTATTAAATGTTAAGCTGTATCTCAGTCTCAAAATACAAGCATTGGCACAGGAAAGAAATCTTCAAGTATTCTAGCATCACAGAATCATGACCTGTGTGATACTTATCTGTGAATGTCTGAATAGTTTCACATCATTCAGGGATCATTATGTATGTTAATAATGAGTCATTTATGTATTTGAATCGTGTTTGCAGGTTGAGGATCCATGCATACGCTCTTGACTTTTGATATAAGTCCAATCTAGAATATACCCTTTGTATATGTGTTGATAAAGATCTCTTCCAATTACTTCCAGTTTTCATTTGGACACTTGAATTTCTCCTCATATTAGCTGATCAGTCAAGCTACGTGGGGGAGGGATACTCCAGTCAATAACTAATGTACAGAAAAAGCAACCAAACCCTTCTGTTAATATGATATAAAAACCTTATTCTGGTTTTCTTTTTTTTTAGTGCACTACAGATTTTTCTTTAGAACTCTTGACTTGAGCGGTTTTCCATTAACATTAATAAGTTTGAAATTGTTCTTTGATCTGTTTGTACAGATGCAGAATTGCGTCATGGTGCTCCAGCTCTTAAATTAGTTGCACACAATAATCATAACATTCTTGATAAGATGTGACATTTTAACCATACTTTACAGATCCTTAGAAAACAAGCAGGAGTTGTCAGCACTTTTCCATCTTGCACGCTTTTAAGTTGTGTATCATATTCCTAACTAGGGTCACTGTCTCCTTATTCTTGTACTCTCTTGAAGCAAGTAACGCTTTGTTTGATGGAACAGGGGTACTTTTTGTCAAAGATGACTGTATGATATGCTAAGATGTTTTATCTGTCCTATGTGAAAATTAAGCACCTGTGCTAACATTTATTTTTGGTAAACTGATGCAGAGGATGCCGTGTATCTGGATGATGAGAAAGAAAGGGAAGAATATGTCCTGAATGATGTTGGTATTGTTTTCCATGGAAATGTTGAAGATGTAAAATCAAGAAGCTGGAGTTATGGTCAGGTAAGCTATTTAGACCTTCTCTGGCTGCTCCCAGTAGGATATCAAGTGAGTTTAATTGACACCAGACAGTGGTTGAGACTGTGGGCTCTGGAGTGCATTATTGGTCTCTGCTTCAGAAAGATAAGGGTTATAATTTTAAAATTGTATGAAGTGTGTATATGCCTAATCCAGAAAAACAATGTTATTATTGCTGATATTTAAAGACCTTGTTTTAGGGGCCTATTTCAGATACTAAGAGGCTGCCTGTTGAAAGTTATAATCATTAGCTGAGGTTTCCACAACAGTATTTCTACTGCTGCATTATTGCTGCTTCAGGATCAAATAGATTTGTGAAAAGTAGAGTTGTTTGGGTTTGACATTTTTATTTTTCAGCAATAGGTTGTATTGCTTTTTGACTTTTTGTTTTAGTTTTAGCAGCTTGGTTGAAATAATTCTGATCTTCACGGAGGTCAGCTAGTTACAGGATTCCTATGACAAACTAGGAACCTCTCCCTTTGCTGCCTGGACTGGACAACATCAGTGTGCAATGGCCTCTTGCAGTCTGGGGGAAACACCCCCTACTAGGCTGGTATGGGGTATTGGTGTACCTTCAATAGCATAGAATCATAGAACAATTTAGGTTGGAGGGGATTTTAAAGGTCATCTAGTTCCACCATCCTGCCACAGACAGGGACACCTTCCAGTAGATCAGGTGCTCAGCTTCCTGTCCTACCTGGCCTGGAACACTTCCAGGGATGTGGCATCCACAGCTTCTCTGGGCAACTTGTTCCACCATTTTACCACCCTCGCTGTTAGAAATTGTTTCCTTATATCTAATTTAAATCATTCCTCTTTTACTTCAGAAACAACTACTCCTTGTCTCAGACTTATCTATTTTACCTCAACTTTCTTGTAAGAACTAACCAGCCTGAAAATCCCTACGGGATGAAAGAATTAAGTTTTTGTGTGAGAATGGGAAAAAGGCATTACCAAGTAGGATCAAAACGAGAGCAAAGATAACCCTAACTGTCACTCAGAGGGGCTCCAGTGGACCGATATTGGACATGGTAAACTCTGCTCATCTCACTTCCTGGATTTTCCCAACGGCACAATTAAGAAAATAGTGACCTTAATATTCCTTAATGCTGTCGTGATAGATTCATTGAGTTTTTGTGGCACCTCCTTAGCACAGCCTTGCACAAGGGGCGTTACCCCTTGCTTTCTTTCCCTCAGCTAAATACAATCTCAAAGCTTGAGCTGGATGGATTGCCCTGGAGAGCTCTTTGAACTCACATCTCTCTTGTTTCCTTATTTAAGGGTACAATTTCATCTTTTTTCCTGCGGCAGCACAGCCCTAGGGAGTTCCTGCCTTTGCACCAATCTTTAGTTTTGTCAGTGCTGTTGTTTGCAGAGTCTGTCTTCCTGACTGAGATAAAAACAACCCTTAAATAAGGAGTGGGAAGAAGTTCCATAAGCTGATAGAACCAGATCCTGAGGCCAAAGCTGGGCATGCATTTAAGTTGACCAAAAATGCCCCCTCCTGGCCCTTCCTTCCCCCTGCAAGCACTTGTGCAGCAGTGCAGTGACTCAGACTGGAGAGCTGATCTAGCTGAATAAGTATCTGGTTGATTTTTTTTCCCTGGGTTATTTCTTGGGCTCTCTCTGTTCCTAGATTTGGGATTCACTCCTTGACAGATGTAAGGGGGAGGGAGAGAGGGGCATGAGTGGCTGGAGGAGGAAAGTACTGCTTAAACCACATACTGGATTTATGTCCTAAGATGCTAAATTTATGGCCTATGGTGGCTTGGCCCAAGGTGCTTATATTCTTCAAATCTGGCACCTTCCTGACACAAACAGTGGACTATCTTGAGAAACTGCATTATTTGTTTGGTTTTGCTAGGAGGTAGTTCTGTCTGGGAGGTTAGGACTCTTCCATAGTCCTTTGCCATGTACTTTCATTCCTGTGTTGGCTGAAATTAGAGGACCTGATTTCCACCATGTGCTGTGGTGCACCTTTTGCTGTTGCTTGCCCTTGTGAAAGCTGAGTGTGGCAGATGCATCTCAGCAAGCCCAAGCCAAGAGCTTCAATTAGATCATTTTGTATGGGTGTAATAGACATCAATCTGCAAAGCAACTGAGAAATATTCTTCCGGTCACCTTACTTTCAGTGAAATGAAGATCATGATGTTCCCAATCTTACTCTGCCCATTTTGAACCATTAAAAACACGTATCTCCCTCATTTTTGGCAATCCTAGATGTTAAGAATAAGAGCATTGCTGTGAGTGAGTAAAAGTGCTAGCAGCAAGGCCTGTATTATGGATATATCATACAAGTATGCTTTTTATATTTGTGATATATAGCCCTTTACATGTAAGTAAAATGCATAAGGCCACATTAAGGTGAAAAGTATATGGTCATATATAAAAATACAGATAGACTTGTGCATGGTAATGGTCTTAGACTAAAAAATTGCTTTGAACAGTGACAACTGGAAGCTTTAACTCAACTTGTAAATGAAAAAGGAACATACCGTTCAAAACTGGGTTACTAGTGGGAGATGATTCTCACAGCTGCTTTCTGCAATGAGCAGCATCAACATGAAAGGAGGAAAGGCAAGAAAAATGGACCGAGGAAGAAAAAACAACCCAACAGTTGAAACATGGCTGTAATGAATGAAGATGGAGGTGTTCCTTGTAACATGATTGCGATCCCTTCTAAGAAACTGTAAATAGCCAATCACTCAGAAAATTCCACAGAGGATTCAGGGAAAATATGGCTTTGGATGAAATCTAGACACATAGGAATTCTCTAGCTGAAAAACTTCAGAAGTTGGATTGCTATACTGATCATTTAATGTTGATTTTTTTATTTGTGAGAAGAATAACATAAAGCAGATGGGCACAAAGTTCTGTTTCCATTGTGACTTCTCTCATGTTCACACATTGATCTGCTTTAGCTTTGAAACCCTCTGTACCAATGTAATTTTATGGCACATGCATTTGTCCAGGTCAGACCACGGGCAACGAGATCACATCTGCCTGCAACTGCCTATGAGAAACACAGCCCTAATTCAGCCAGTGCAAAAGGTGATACAGCCCCTCTTACTTTGATTTAAATGGAAGGTCATCTATTAGAAACAGATTAGCATGAAGGAGTCCAGCATGACTAAGTGCATTGCTCTGTAACACAAGAGCAATGTGTGAAGACAGAATTCCTTTGCTTGTGTGATTTCTCATGCCTTATTGTCCATCTGCAGTCTTCCCCAAGTGGCTCTGCCAAAGTTCTTTGGTCCTGACATTGATTTATTTTGTATGGAGCAAGTAGTGCCCATGCCTGGCCCAGGTTCACTCCCCTGTCTTGTCTTCCTGCTGCTACTCTAGTTCCTCTGATATTTCAGAGGTGTTCAGCCTTACAACTGCTATGTTTCTATTCCACTCTCCTCTAGGTAGTACTTTCATGCAAAGAGTGAGAGCAGGGAACTGATTTAGTTTGATTTAATGTTTTTAAATTCATGAATAGTCAAAAAGGGAAAAACTGGCTTTAGTGTTAAGGCTACTCTGCATCCTAAGTTACTGCAACAGTGTAAGGCAGCTAGACTTTGCAGCTTGTCCTCTTTCTTCTGTTCATCCAGTTATTTCACAAGTATTCATGTTGTTTTGTAAATGCTAAGGTGGAAGGCAGCAACCCTGATAGCAATTTATTTCCTCTTTATTCTTTCTGTGTATGCTGGCAAGATTGACAGTGTCTCATAAACTGTACATGAGAAAGGTTTAATTTGCAGGGTAAACTTCTTATTGATTTAACTCTAGTCTGATGACTTGAAGTGCAGAAAGCAGATTTTGATCCTGGCGAAAGTGATAAATCATTGGGCCAGACCTGAAGAAAAGTGAGCCTGAAGCAGGAAAAATGGTTATGAGGGTCCAGAGTTTACCTAATCTGTTTTTCCCTTGGGAAGGAGGGTCTCCAAAACACAGTCATTCAACCAATATTATTTACATCACATTCAGTGGAGTGGACTGGAAAGTCTATCGTGCAATTATGGAGTTTCCCAGGAATGATTAGGAGTAGATCTCTGAGAAACACTAATCCCTCTTTCCCTATTCCCAAGCACCATGAATTAAGTTTGGCTTAGACTATAAGGCATTACTCACTAGTGAATGCCTGCTTCAGAGAAAAATGCCTGCTTCAATGCTAGTGTGGGTGATGATGAGAGAGATATGCTGCCTTGGGGGACATTTGCTGAAAATGATCCATACAGCAGTGGTACCTTGAGCAATAAGACCCATGTAGGCTCAAGGCAGAGGCAAAGAAAAGGACTTCCTTTGGCCAGGAAATGGCTGAAGGTGGTGGAACATAATGGTGCTTCCTCTTTCTTGGCTTATTCCAGAGTTCAGCTGCTGCCTAGAATGTCACCACTATCCCTCCCATCTTCCTTGCAGTATCAGCAGCAATCTTTATTCCTTGGAGCTTCCTTTTCAGCTCTTTGACCTCGCTCTTCATTCTCTTCTGCCTTTCCCCAGGTTGCCAAATTAGCAGCTTGGTCTGGGCTCTTGCTCGCTTTCTTCAGGATGCAAAACTCAGGTCAGCCTCATCTGCCAAGGAGTCCTAAGCCAGGCAGGAGACAGTTACAAAATCTATCAGCATTAGCAGTATCATGAGAGCAAAAATCATATTAGTATGAATGATATCTTTCAGGATGCAAGCATAGAACGTAAAATCTAACATGGCAAGAGGACAAGCTTCATGGAGTTCCTATCAGAGCCTTGAATGTTAATATAAGTTTGTGTATCTAGAAGATAGTTGTTTTATTAATGTGCATTTCCCTGCCTCCTACCGTTTACCAGGGGACAGAGGTATTTTCCTTTGCTATGCAGTTTCTCCGAAGGAAAATGAAATACATTGCAGGGCAAGTCCTGTGACAAATGGTTTCTGGTCTATTTAGGCACCTCTGCCCTCAATTCATTCTTGTGCTTGTTCATGCTGGATCGAAAAAACCCGTACCTTTTCACTCTATTTTTGAAGAAGACTACTTTAGGTCACTTGGTGGTTTTGACGTCTAACTTTTGTAGATCAGGATTAATCTATATAATAAACTTTTGTCTTGTCAATTTTAAACAGACTTAAAAAATAATTTTAAAATGTAAGTGTCTTCAAACTAACACTGGCAAACCACTTATTGTTCAACTTCTCAGCAATGCACTGGCTGTGTCAAAGAAGTCCTGAAATTAACAGGTTTGGAATCTGTGAAGGACATGAAGTCCTTCACAAGTAGACCAGCTTCTTGTAGTTATTATTATAATATCCTCCTATAATATACTTGTTAGCACTTAAAATTTTATGCCCTGTCAGAAAGGCTGTGTTGTCATTTCAACCTTCTGGAAACTGGACTGAGGTTGAATTGAAAATTACACTCTCTTCCCTTACAGCCTCTCACGTTTTTTTTTTCCATACATGGGTGATTATTCCAGAAGAAAACTTGTATTGTGAAACATAGAAATTTGACTTGACCAGCTAATTTTGAAGCTCATTAGCTATTACAACGACAGGAGAAAATAACCTTGCCTGTGCTTTCCAGAATTTTATCTCTGTTTCCCATTTTATTTTCTTTTATCTAGTTTGAAGAAAACATTCTGGATGCTTGCCTGTTCCTGATGGATAAGGCAGAACTGGAGCTCTCTGGGCGTGGAAACCCAATCAAAATCTGTCGTGTTGCCTCTGCAGTGGTATGTAATGGATGCATAATATGTGTCAGAAGTGACTCATAAATCAAAGCCAGGCCGATTTAACTGGCTCTCATGCCCTGGTGTGCTCACTCCAACATACAACAGATCAATTGTCCATTCTGACAATTGTCCATTCTGGAGTCTGGCATCTTATTTTGCTCCACTAAAGCTGAAGCAACTTATGTTGGCTCATGGCATTTTCCTGAGAATGGTGCCTCAGTGTGGGAAAGGCACTTTTAGACCTTGCACTCCAGACGTAAGTATTTCTTGTGACACTATGCTCATTTTCCAGTAGCTGATATAATTGAGAAAGCTATTTCTGCTATGGACAATAAGGTGGCCTGTTGGGTGGAATTCTGGATGGGGAACTGAGAGACTTTATGTGGACTCCAGTGCTAACCGCAGTGGGGTCTGCAACGGTGGGTGTCTGATTTAAGCCCCAAATGACCTAATTAGGCTGAGAACAAACATATATGTGTGCTACTTTGGCCCCAGAAGAAAACACTGTGAGAACTGTCCTCTTAAACATGGGGTCCACAAAACATGCCACATTCAGAACAAAAGTACCTAAAATAATCAAGGAGAAGACATAAGACTTTCCAGACCTCCTTTCTTTCCAGTTGCTAGGCATCAGAAATCACGCTGTGGGTGCAAGACCAGTCCCATCCCTAATATTGAATATGCTAGGCTCATCCAGAATGTGGAAGACAAAGGCTGAGTCCTCTCCTTTGTCTTATTCGAGGTCTGAACTGATGCTTTCTGCTTCCCAGAATAATACTCTAGTCATTCAGCTAGTTAATTAGATGTTCTCTCGAGCCAGCTACTAAAATAGACTGTCCACAAAATGTGGCTGCTGGAGATGGATGATCCTTTAACCCATTTGTTATAGCATTTGCCCAGGCTTTAAGAAAATGAGCTCTTTGTCTTAGATGACATTGAAGGGGGATCTCCAGCCTCTCAGTCTTGCATAGCATCACGTTACATACAATAGCTTCAGCAAGAAGTATTGAGAACACCTCCACTTCTCTTTCTCTTTTAACATTTTAGTTATTTCACTCCAGACACTAGAAATATGGTTTCAGACTTCCAGATAGAGGTAAGAATTGAATGTGGTTCCCTGATCTCTGGGCTAGTAGATATAAAAGGTCCCTCATGTAGGGACCATGGAGGCCCTCAAGACAGAATAACACGAAGTTTAAGAACCCAAAGAGGGCTTCGATATTAGTTAAGTTTTGAGCCACTGAATCATTTTAGAGAGGTAGAGAAGCTTACCATTGGAAATCCAAGAGCCTGTGTACTTTAGGTCTATACTGCAGAATTAGGCCATAGCTGGGTTGGGGGTGTGGTCATCTGAAATCTGGACCTGAGTAAGGAGTGGTCAGGAGGTGCTAAAGTTCAGCCTGTGTTCCCTACCCTCATTCTTGCTCAAGTTGAAATGTGGTAGAGCTGAGCTAGTCTGAGGACATTCACCCATGCTGGATTCCTTCTGAGGCTTCCTTGTGTTGCAAAGCGGGTAGAGTCCTTCTCCCATCCTTTACAACCATAGGAGAGCCAGAAGATCAACATGTTGCCCTGTCCTTCAAGATTTCTTTTCTTGGCATGTTTCCCACACCAGTGAGATGGGCACAACCTCTTAATCCTTTGGTTATGACTCTGAATACTTATCTTTATTCAGTCCTAGAATTCACAGGAAGTCGATTTTCTAATTATAAAACAGTAGTTAATGCAGCCAAAAGCTTTCAAATGAGAATTGTGATTTATTTGGCTGGTGTGTAGCTGTTCCACATTTGCATAATTAAAAGGTACAGAGCGAATGAGCTTTTTGCACAGCCTCAACTGGTTTGGTTCAAATTGCAGCTAGGAGATGTATTGCTCGTTAATGCCTATCAGTATAGCCATTAGTCAGCAAAACTCTCTGCTTTGTATAATCTCACCAGAGGAAAACTTACACAGCAAATTCCTTCTCGTTTTCCTGTGTGCTGGACCAAAAGAGTTAGTTTCTACTCTAAAAATAACTGTGAACTGGTTTTCCTCTCAGTCCGCTGCAAATCAGGAGTGATTTTATTAAAATATGGACTGATATGGAAAGAAAACCAAATGATGGTAGGAAAGAATACAGCTTAATATTTCTGAGGCTTGCTTATCAGTGTATAACTGATTGTGTTTATTTAAAATACATATCAGTAAGCATGTTTAATGTTAATAAAACTTACTAAACAGGCAACATGAATACTCAGTGTGGTGATTTAATTTCAGCATTATTTTTAAGTGTCTGACCTTCATTCAAAATTGTTCAGTGATGGAGAATCCAAGGTCCTTAGCAAGATTGTTCTATTTATCCCCTACCTTCATAATGAAATATTTTTATCTTACTTCTAGCATAAACTGGCTATGTTCAGTCTCTCCTATCTTATCGGTCTGCTGAGTTAAGGAGCTTTTTATTATTCAGTCTCTGACATTCCTAACGCTCGTTTTCTTCGACTTTAGATCAACTCCAGGGATGATAATGGTGTGATTGCTGGATCCTGGAACAATTCATATGATTATGGTGTTGCACCTTCAGCCTGGACAGGAAGTGTGGACATTCTCTTGGAGTATTACAGTTCTAAGCAACCTGTGCGATACGGCCAGTGCTGGGTCTTTGCTGGTGTCTTCAACACATGTAGGTATCAGTGAGAAAATCTCCATGCTGCCATGAAATTCTTACTTAACAGAGTTCTTAGGTAAAACTAACTAAAATATTTCCTGACTCTGTGTTGTTCAGGAATAAATAGCACAGAGGCTTAAAAATACATGGCTAAAATAGATGGTCTCCAAATAAAACTTTGGTGTGTACTTCAGTTCAGCTGCTCTTTCACACAAATCTGTTAACTATTTCTGGGTTCAGTAAAATGTATTTCTGTGTTCAGTAAAATGTATTCAGTGACTCACAAGGGTAAGTTTGTGAGAGAGAAAGTTAAGTCTTTTGGCATGGTCCACATTTCTGTCAGGAAATCTTAGATGAACAGGGTGCTTGTCATCTAGACCTAAAACATTAAATTACTATCCAATATGGGATATGTGATCATGTTTCTGCTACAGAAAGGCCAAATCTCACCTACTGAGGATTGTTCCTAGAAAAATTGAGATGAACTGTCCCTACACCTGTCTACTGAGCACTGTTAACATTTTCTACAGAGTTTATGAGCCAGAAGAATGAAGAAAATGCTGGCCTAGTTTATTAATTGTCTAGCACTACAAGGTTAAGTCTAAACACAGTTGATCAAACTAGAGTTCTAGTGTTTCTGCAGAGTGTTGCAGATCATAAAATAGTGAGGAAAGCGGCAGTGAATTGGTCCCATTTTTTTACTATCTAGCACTTTCTAACAGCATCATCTGCTAATACACAGGAACACACTGCAGTGTATTAGCAGTCAGGAAAGACTCTCAGAGTGTAGCAAATGTGTATTATACAGATAATAGGGACCAGACATTAGAAGCAATGCTTATGTCAAGCGTCAATATAAAGCCAGTTAAACCGTTCCTATGCCTATGGTATAGGCCAGTAGAAGAAGCTGAACAGAGACTAAAAGTAAGTGTCTTAAGCTGAGATGATCGTCCTGAGAAGCACTTACAATATATGCATTTAAGCATCAGACTGTGGGGAAGACCAGATCAGCGCGTTGCAGGGAGACACAATGTGTATTTCTGCAGGCTTGGAGCCTACATTGCATCAAGTACTTTTCAGCCACAGCTGAAGCCAAGATCTGGTCCATGTCTTTGAGATGTGAAAAGGAAATTACAGAAAATTTCTCTGTGAAACCTTCCCTTTTTTATGTACCTTAATACTGTCACATGTTGCTTTCTCAAGGAATCACATTATACTTCTCTTCACATTATACTTTTATAAAAAATGAGGGCAATTAATCACCCATCTTCCACAGGAAATGTGAAAATTGAATAATGAATGATAAGTTGGAAGAGTGGTTCTTCACCCCCAGGCAGCTTTGGGCATCTCTGTGTTTTCACTTTATTTTTGCCTGTTCTGTATGTGTTTCATTTTGTACATAGTTTTCCTCCTGTCTGGATAACTAAATTTCATAACTCATTCTGGTTACCTGAGGTGGTTCAAAAACTATTCAAAGGAGTAAGGACCTCAGAAATAAAGCTGTCTTCTGACCACCTAGCCTTCTGCTGGCACATGCTTCTCACAGCTGCAGTGGGGGATGGAGTTTCAGATTTCTCTGCTTTGCACAGAATCATAGAACAATCTGGGTTGGAAGGGACCTTAAAGATCATCTAGTCCCAACTTCCCTGCTGTTAGCAGGAACACCTTCCACTAGACCAGGTTGCTCAAAGCCCCAACCAGCCTGGGCTTGAACACTTCCAGAGATGAGGCATCCCAACTTCCCTGGGCAACCTGTTCCAGTGCCTCACCACTCTCATAGTGAAGGGTTTCTTTCTAATATCCAATCTAAACCCCACCTCTCTCAGTTTAAAGCCATTCCCCCTTATCCTATCACTACATGACCTTGTAAAAAGTTCGTCTCCAGCTCTCTTACAGGCCCCCTTTATGTGCTACAAGGTCTCCCCAGAGCCTTCTCTTCTCCAGGCAGAACAGCCCAACTCTCTCAGTTTTGTCTTCATAGGATAGGTACTCCAGCCCTCTGATCATCTTCATGGCCCTGCTCTTGAGTTGCTTCAACAGGTCTGTGACCTTCTTATGTTGGGTACCTAAGGGCTGGATGCAGCACTCCAGGTGGGGTCTCATGAGAGCAGAGTAGAGGGACAGAATCACCACCCTCAACCTCTTGGCCACATTGCTTTGGATGTAGCCCAGGATACAGTTGGCTTTCTGGACTGCAGGCACACATTGCCTGGTTGTGTTGAGCTTCTTGTCAACCAGCACCCCCAAGTCCTTCTCCTCAAGGCCGCTCTCAGTCACTTCTCCCCAGGCCATATTTTTGCTTGGGATTGCCTTGACCCGTGTGCAGGACTTTACACTTGGCGCTGTAGAACTTCATGAGGTTCACACAGGCCCACCCCTCAAGCCTCTCAAGATCTCTCTGGATGCCATCCCTTCCCTCCAGTGTGTCAACTGCACTACACAACTTGGGGTCATCAGCAAACTTGCCGACAGTGCACTCAATCCCACTGTCTCTGTCACCGACAAAGATGTTAAATGGCACCAACACCTGAGGAATGCCACTCGTTACCGATCTCCACTTGGACATTGAACCATTGACAGCAATTTCTTGAGTGCAATCATCCAGTCAATTCTTTATCCACCAATTGGTCCATCCATTAAATCCGTGTTTCTCCAATTCAGAGACAAGGATGTTTCATGGGACAATGTCAGCTGTTTTGTGCAAGTCCAGATTCTTTCATGTATTTGAAGAGGCTCCTGTTTTGATTTGGGAAGGTGGTGGCAGGTGCTGTGTCCTTCACACATGAAATGCTTAATTTTATTCCTGGAGCAGTGGGATAATGAGCAATCACCCACATCCAAAGAACCTGAGAGATATCTACTTTCTTCACTGTCTGAGGCTACGTGGTCTGTACTTGATGCTCCTCAGCCTCTGCACAACATAATGGGTTTAAAAAGGCTCATGCAAATGTTTCCTATGGAGGAATTCCTCGCAGTGGCTTCCATAGCCCACTTTGTCTTCTCTGCCTGTTGCCTTATCTGGATTTCTATAGATCACAGACAGACACAAACACCAGTTCTCCCACCTTCCCCCTGCAATGGCCCTGAATCACCACTACGCAATATTTTGCCTGCAGGCCACTGTGAAACTGGGGCAATGCAGCAGAGGCCTGGAGCCTGCTGTGTTAAATGGAGTGGCGTATTTATCTGGGGTAAAACTAGACTTGGTTTGCTGACTAAGTTAGTCAAGTCAGAGACCTGGCACTTTGTACTGCTGCAAGGATTGCTGAAGTACAAAGTTTGTTGAGAATTATGAAATGGAAATGTCCAGTGGCTAATCTGATGATAGCCACTGATATATCCAGCTGCTGATCACTACAGAGAGGACAGCGAAGGTCCGAACGGTCATGTGCAACTAACAGGGTTGTTTTGAGGTGATTTTGAGTCTCTCTCAGCTGCCAATGTTTTATCATTGTGACCAGTCCAGCTTTCCAAGGTTACTATAATGTACGCTCTGGATATTCATCCATTAAAAATGCTAAAACATTCGAGAAATGGTCATTAATCTTGAAATTGTCAGACAAATTATTTTCAATGAGCCCTGATGGCTCATGCACTGGAAGCCTTGGAGGGCACTTGAATTAAGTTTAATCAATAGGTACATATGGTATTGGATGCATCCAGGTAATTTGTCATCCAGGAACTTGAAATGAATGTGCAGTGTTACACTTTATTGGGAGTCACAGTAGTGACACTAATGAATATACAAAACCCAGCAGTAGCAGGAAGAGCTGTTCAACTTTGCAGCATTGGAACTATTTTTAAATGGGATTTTCAATAAAAATCTTTCCCCTTAAAAAAAAAAAAAAGAAGAGGGGAAAAAAAAAACAACAAACATCCTCGATTTTCTGCAGAACCATGTTGGTTCCTAAATTGGAAAAAAAGGAACTTTTTTTGGCTGAGAAACAAAATATGTCATCTGGAGGAGCTGAGATGATGTGTCACCCTGCAACCCTACTCCCCTCTCAGGGCTGTGCTCCATGCCTATTTATCAGGCAGGGTGCACACAAAGACAGAAACCTACTGATGCACTACTGCAGACTGCAGACATAGCTGTAGCATTTCCACATGTCCCAAATCTACCATTTGTCAAATGGTGAGAAGAGTCACCAGTGTTACATTGTGATGGTCTGAGATTTAGGGCCAGGGGCTTTTTTCTATGGTCCTCCTTTTAAGATCCTTTATGGGAAGGGACTGTTAGCTCTCAAATACTATTACTTAGTATTCAATATTAATTATGAATTATATAATGCATTTTATTCAGACTCTCAAGCTCTGTCATTTCAGTTGCAAACAATGCAGCTTTTCACCATCGCTAGCACTAATTTTCTTCTTTATTCTTTGTGTTCTCCTGATCTCTCCTGTCAGCAGATGTGAAACAGGAAAACTCCAAATCAGTCAAAAGGAGATACTTTCTGTTAATTTTCTTTTTAGCATAATCTCATGATTCTCCGGAGTTACTCATACTAAGAGACCTGACATATTTTGCATTTCTTGCAAGTTCAGACTTGTTTTTCTTTGTACCACATTTGGTCATACAGTTGACCCACTGCACCAGCTTTGTCCTGAAAGGCTGCAGTGTGGTTGCTATGGAAGGCTGCTTTAAAACTACTGGTAATTAGCTGCTTAGGTTATAACCATTGTACCACCACATACCCTGAATGCTCATCATTTTGGGACCAAATAAAATATTTACCAAGTGCTATATAAAGACAGATAGGAGGAATTATTTGGGTTGTTTTGATTGTGTTTTTCCATTTTATTCTAGTTATTAATAGTTTCTGTCCTCTCATCCTGTCATCCATGAACACAGCCTTCATATTTGTCCTCCCCATCACACTTTTGTCTTTGCCACAGTCCTGAGATGCTTGGGGATACCTGCAAGACTCATCACCAACTACTCTTCTGCCCATGATAACAATGCCAATTTACGGTTGGACTTCTTTCTGGATGAGGAAGGAAAAGTGGACACCAAACTTACAAAAGACTCTGTCTGGTGAGTCTTCCTGGAAACTGCCTTTAATGTGTCAATGATATAAGTAGTAAAAAACATGATGGCGATGCCTATGTTTTATTTATTTCTCTGTGCATTGAAGAACACTGCTAGCTTATGTAAAACAGAATGAATGGATTGTTAGTGGGCTGACTAATATGAAGTGCTTGTTGAGTAAGCAAACCCTGGGGGATCCTGCTAGTACTGTTACCATACAGTGTACATTTAAGCACACCAGAGGAGAGCTGGAATGGGCTGGTGCTCCTTCGGACCAAGCTATTTCTAAAAATGGAAAGGGGTACGATGGGCACTTCATCCTTCTGGAGCCAGGCTCAAAGGTGTACCTCAATCTATATGGAAAAATATTCTTGTTTTGCCTGTTCCCAGTTTCCACATTTATAGACTGGTTTTACGTTGTGTACATGCAATCGTTGTTGCATAGGTACCTTCCAAAATAAATCCAGTTCAGCTGAAAAAGTGAAACAAGTTAAGGTATTGTACAAGATACTGAAATTCTATCACCAGATTTATAAGAAGAAAACTCCCTAGGACCAATAAATAGAGTTTACACATTCTTTTGCAGAAGACAGTCTTCTAACTGGCTTTTCAAATTCTTACTGTCTGTTGTCTGACAGGAGAAGTGTAGCATTTATTGATTATATGCTCTGTGTGGGTTATTGGCCCTCAAGCCCCTCCTCCTCAGAGTGAAGCAGTGAATATGACCTCTATATTCCTATATTCAGGAGATACTCATCCTATTCAATGTTAATATACTTGATTTGTGTCAATGATATCTTCAATCATTAACATAGCTGCTCATCAGCATGCTTCATTAATCTATGGAAGTCTTTATATTAAAACTGTAATAAACCCATTATGTGGTGGAGGAAATGACTGAACCTGTTATTGTAACCTCTTTTATGTGATTTCCATAATCAAGAGGAAATCTAAGGAAAACAATTAAGTTCATTTACATCTGAAGCTTGTATCACAGCATCATAGAGTAGTTGAGACTGGAAGGGACCCATGGAAGTCATCCAGTCCTCCTGCTCACAGCAGGGTTAGCTAGAGCTGGTTGCTCAGGGCCATATCTAGTTGGGCTTTAAGTATCTCCAAGGATGGATACTCCACAACTTCTCTGGGAAACTGATGCCAGGGCTCAACCATTCTCACAGTAAAAAAGTGTTTCCTGATCTTCAGACAAAATTTTCTGTGTTTCAATATGTGCCTGTTGCTTCTTGTCCTGTCACTGGGCTGCTGAGAAGAGTCTGGCTCTGTCTTCTTTCCCTCAATTCCCTAATCCAGCATTTATATGCATGGATAAGGTCCTATTGAGCCCTCTCATCTTCAGGCTGAACAGTGTCAGCTGCTTTACCTTCTCCTTGTGTGCAATCTCTGTTGTATCAGCTATTGCTTCCAGTTTTCTATATCAGCAAACTTGCTGAGGGTGCAGTGGGTCTTGTAATTCAAGTCATGAATGAAGCTGTTAAATAGTACTGGACCCTGTATTGACCTCTGGGGTACACAACTAATGACTAGGCTCCAGCTGGAGTTCACACCACTAATCACAACCTTCTGATCCCAGCAGTTCAGCCAGTTTTCAATGTATTTTACTGTCCACTTGTCTAGTCTATAGTTCAAGGGTTGGTCTATGAGAATGTTCTAGAAGATGGGGCTAAAGTCAAAAGGATCAATCCCCATGCATTCTTCTCCCCTTGTCCTTTCAGTCATTCACTTCATCAGTGAAAACTATCAGGTTTGTCAGGCACAGCTGACAAACCTGGCTGCCTGTAAATCCATGCTGACTACTGCCAATTACCTAGTCCTTAATATGTTTGGAAATGTTTTCCAGAACTTGCTCTATAACCTTGCCAGGGCTCAAGGTGAAGCTCACAAGTCTGTAGCTCCCTGGATACTCCTTCTTCCCTTTCTCGAAGAATGGAGTGATATTCTTTTCCTTCCAGTGCACAGGAACCTCCTCCAATTGCGATGGTCTTTCAAAGATAGATATGAGTTGTCTTACAGTGACATTGGCCAGCTCCCTCAGCATTTTTGGGTTCATTCCATCAGATGCATTGGACTTGTGTGTATCCAGTGTGTTTAACTAGTTCTAACTTGTTACTCGTCTACAGACGGTAAGTTTTTGTTACTCCGAGCTTTCACATTGGTTATAGGGGCTGTGATTGCTGAAGGCAAACCTTAGCAGTAAAAACCAAGGTAAAGAAGACACTGAATATTTTGGTCTTCTCTTAATGCTTTGTCAGCAGGTCACCTGCCCTGGTCAGCAGCAGCCCCGCATTTTCTGTAGTCTTCCTTTTGATACTGATGTACTTGTCTTTCTTACTGCTGTTCACGTTTCTTGACACGCTCTGTTTGATCTGTATTTTGGCTTTCCTAAACCTGTCCCTGCATGCTCAAACAGTGACTCTGTATTCCTTCTGGTCACTTCCCCCTCTTTCTTAGCACCTTTTTTTTAAATGTTTGAGTTTAACTGGGACTAACTTGTGGACTTGTACCACTTTTGGTTGATTTCCTGCACACAAGGATGGATGATTCCTAAGCTTGGAGGAGATGACACTTGAAAAACAACCAGCTCTCCTGTATTCATCTTCTACCCAGAACTACCTCCCATGGGATTCTTCCAAGCAAGACCTCAAACAGGTCTTAGCCTATTCTCCTGAAATCCAGAGCTGTGGTCCTGCTATTTGCCTTGTTTCCTCCTCTTAGAATCCTTTACAACTGGTCTATGAGACAGCAGGACCTCAGTACGTCTCATTCCTTCTGTGGCTCAGAGAGCTGAAACCTCCTCTGCCTATAAATGATGTGAAACAAGACTTAGTGACTGGCTGCTTCACTGCTCAGTCCATACACACCCAGTAATGGATCATTGCTATGCGTCAGAATTTTCACTGTCTCATCTCTTCTTCTCTCCTTCTCCTAACCTGGTGTATATAACACCTCTCACTCACTTTTGACATTTCCTTTTACTTCCCTACATCTCTTTTTCACAATTGTTTCCCAAGACTTCTTAATTCAATCCCGTTTTCTTCAATTCTTTTGGGACAGGGTCAGATCATCTACAATCATCCTAGCTCCACTGAAATCCATACACACCTTTACACTAGCATTTCATCCTCTCATCCCACATTTGCTTTTCTTTGGCTTGAATACTTTTTGAACCACCTTGTTCATCCTTTTATCCACTTGGTGCATTTATTAGTACATGGTGCACATAACCCTTTGGGCACAACTTAATATATATACCTCTTTTCATTTCTCCTCTGTGTCCTTTCTTTTCATTACTCTGTAACACTCCATGGTAGCCCACATGCCGACTTTTATTGGCTTGTGTCTTAACCTTGATTTTATTTTTAATGTCTATTTTATTTCTTTTTTTAAGAGGACAAGCTCAAGGTATTTATAATGGTTTTTTTAAATGCATTTCTCAATTTTATTTATAATCTCCTGAAAACTGGAAGCAAAGCTCTTTTTCTCTACTAATATATCATTTCTATTGTACTTGTACTCCAGCCTTGTACTGCTGAAGCTGATCTATCTTCAGTTTTTAAATACTCTCAGACTTCAGGGATATTTGGAGCCAGAATTTTTAGTCCAATCAATCTCAGTGTGGGGCTCCCTCTGAATGTTATTTGACATTTATTTATTTTTATTAAAAATCATTTTCTCCCTCAGGATAGGAAACAACAACACCACCAACAAAACACGTATACAAAATTACACAGACTTTGCAAAAAGTTATTTTTATAAAGCTGGCCGGATTTGGGCCCATCAGTACTGTCTCTGTCCCCTTACTTTGTTCTCCTTGTCTTTCTTAATGATGATATAAAGACACTTATAGAATATTTCTTTTGGATGGGAATCAAGACTCACTCCTACTGTAAGGTCCAAGCAGATCGACATCAGTACCTCAACAGAAGCTTGCTTGATGTCACCCCACCCATGCCCAGGCCTGTGCAGAAAGCCTTTCTGAGACCTCTGCTTTCCTATTCACTTCCAGATACCTTTGCTCTAATTTCTCAACAATGTTATCAGTGCCCCTCTCGACCTCAATGCCTGAACCTGTTAGCTAGTAAAAGGACAGCAGCTTTTTCCAGCATGTGCCTGTCCCATAAACAGTACGAACTGCCCTTCTTGAACTGTCTTCCAGGCATAAAACCCACCTGGTCATCTTTTATTAATTTCCCCATTGCTTTGTTTAGTCTATTTGTAATTATCTCTGTAAATATTTAATGGCCACTACATTGATCTGTATTGCCATTCTTGCTTTCTTTAATGTCTCAGGCTTGCTGTAGAATACAAGAATTACAGGATCAGTTTAACAAATTATGGTTGCAGAGCCACCTCTTCAGCTGTGCTCACTTCTACTAAAGAAGTTTCTGCTACATTTTGGAGAAGCAAATGTTCCCCTCATCCCTACTCTTCTTAATGTTGACTGTTTTACAAGCAATGTCTTTCTGTCCGTTCACATTTGATATCCTAAAGTTTATTTATTATTTGCATGGCAGCAGAGCTAAAGAAATTGCCATTCTGTTGTGTCCAGCACTACACCAACAGAAACCAGAAAGAAAGGTCCTGTCCCTAAGATGAATATAGAAAAAATTATAGAAAAAGCTGCATTGCCTAATTACAGAATTGAAGTAGATCTGCCATTTTCCATGCTGTTAAACCCAACCCCTTGCTTTTATCATCTTTCCCTTCTGCTCTTCAGGTTCTTCTTTTGCAGAACACAAAGCCAAAGACACATCTGACTGATTCAAAGTGAACCAGTAAAGGCTTCGCGGCAGGGATTGGCTTTCTCACATGTTGGCATAGCAGTATTCAAATACTCACCTACCATGAAGTGCCATCCCATCCTCTGGTAGCCCTCAGCAAAGCTCTGTGAGCATGATTCAGCACTGCCTGCTCTCAGCAGCATCAAAAATTCTCTGTGTGTGTGTCATTTTCCTTGAATAATTCCTTTTTCTCTAGTGCTGCTTCATTAACTCTCCTAACTGACAAGTTTTACCCTGATCCAAGCTTTCATTTCCACTTTGAAATGCCTTGTTAGACAAGCCTCAGATCCTTCTGACTCCATGGCTGGTTTTCACGTATTATTAATGACATGGTCAGAGTTTAACAATCCACATTTTGGTTGCTAATATCATTGCATGTACTAGGGGCTATATCAGCAGCTATACAGATGTAATTTTATTCAGAACTGCTGTAGGATATATATAATTTGCAAGCAAAATTGTGCCTTTCTCTATTCCTTCCTTCTTTTATTTTTTTGCAGTAGTAAAATTCAAACCCTTTGCTGGCTTTACTACAAGACCATTTTCCTAGATCTTCTTGCTTGTGTTCTCCCTTGAGTGCCAGTATCATTGCAGAAAGTTACAAGATCTGTCTTTCTGCTCATCTTTGAAACATCCTGGGTAGACTGTGATGGTGCTGTGGTGCTTTTTTCTTTTCCTGAGCACCCAGCCAGGTGAGAGCATTTCAAGCCTGAGCACCTAGATGAACCACTTTCAGAATTTCACCTTTCAGCATACTGTCCTGGGCCCTAAAGGCAAGACTTGGCCCACAGTGGTTCTAGGTGGGTTTTATGAAAAACTGTGTGTTTCAGGACAATGCCCTCATTGGCAAGACACACTGGGAAAACCTTATGAGGAACATACAGTGAGAATAGTCTTAGAAAGGCTATGCATGGTCTTTTTCTCAACCAACATGGAAAAGCTAAGCATGGTTTTTTTGACCCATGAAAACTGCACGTCATGGAGTAAGAGGTGCCCAAGCTTCGGTCTTAATAATTATAAACCAGACTGTGCTTCATTGGCTTGAAGATTCAAAGTTTGCAGGCAGATTGAAGTGGAGGTGCCTGGCTGGAAAGGGATTCTGGTTTGTGTAGCTCTACATCTACCCCAACAGTCTCCAAACACTGGCATATTTTCTGAGACATTAACATTCAGAACATATTAGAAGACGTAAAAAAGCTTCTTCAACTTGCAGTGAAGAAACTACAATGAAGGATTGTGAATTTCAGATTTTTACCAATAGGTATCAATCTTTTAGATCTAAAAACCTGTTCTCTTACAAGAGTCAACTATTTTGTCCTTGAATTGGCAAACTTTGTTATTGAAAAAATGGCAGGGCATAAATACACAGGTTTGTTTGGTCTGTATGCTTCTTTTCAATAATTTAATATTTTGGTCCCATCTCTTGTCTAAGGAATTATCATTGCTGGAATGAAGCTTGGATGACCAGACCTGATCTTCCTGTTGGTTTTGGAGGATGGCAGGTTGTTGACGGGACACCTCAAGAAACCAGTGATGGTAATATTGCTTGAAGTCCTCCTTAGCTCACTTTCTAAGTTTTGGGTTCTTTGTGGCAAACAATGAGCTGATGATAGCTGAGCCAGTGGCACCATATGGCCAGTGACAACATCTTGAACCAGATTAACCACAGTCACCTGTGCTCAGAGCCTTATCCTGATATGTTTTGAGCTCTAAAAGAAATCTGTCCTTATTATAACACTGATCATGATGCATGGGCATAAAATCCTGCATGACAAAGGTCCTGCTTGGTACAGAAGAGATGTTATCCTGTTGCCAAAGATGGCTTCAAAAATTTTAGAGCATCTATACAAGATCCTGATCAAATTAGTTCTCCTTCATTTTATGCAGCCCTAGCTAAACTTCCTGAACAGACGGTAGTCAGGAGAGAAAAAGTGAAAAGCCACTGCTATTTCTTCCCAATCCTTAATTTTCCAGTCCTTAAAATACATGCTTTACAAATTTGCAGTGAGATCTTTCTCAACCTGTGGTGTAACTGAGTCCTCCCAAAAGTATCTTCTTTAACCGAAATCAGCTATAAGTGTGTTTCAAACACTTGAGACTTACAGTGGACTTTATGGTGCCATTAAAGGTACTGAACAATCAGGTTGTTCCACACTTGAGTCTGTGCTGTCTAGAGGGCTGGTAACAGAAATTAAGCTTCTTGTTTCTTGGTCAGAGTTCCTGTAAACTATTAAAAGAGTAAGCTAAACCCCAAGAATTCCTTTTCTTTGAGAAAATATAGCATTTTGACGTGTTTTTAATTAATTTAGTCTCTGATATTATCTCTTTTCTCCCCATAGGTATGTACAGGTGTGGTCCAGCCTCAGTTCAAGCCATTAAACATGGTCATGTTTGCTTCCAATTTGATGCTCCTTTTGTCTATGCTGAGGTATATACATGAAAATTTTTATTGCAATTAATGATATCAGTGAGACTGAAGTGAGACAGAAGATAGGGCTCCACCACCATTTATGGATTGAGAAGTTACTTCACGTATGCTTCATATGACAGAACAATCTCATCATTATATTTTGACATGCAGGCCAGTAGGTGTGATATGGCTCTAATGAATGACAGAGATTTCTCTGATCTCTGCTCACCAATGTAATAAGCAGAAAAAGCTACTCTGACACAACTGGAACTTCAGGCTATGGTCATTTTTCCTTCCAAGGTTCAGCTATGCTGGCAAATGGGTTACCAGCTCTAGCTGCTCATCTTTGTTCACCACATTCCTTTTGGCTGCCATGGGTAATGGAGAGTTCACATGGGTTATTTGACTCACAGGTCTGAGAGGGAAATATCTCAATAAGGAGCTAGAGAGCCTGGTCTGGAGTTTTAACCTCTTGCATCACCAGAGATGGTGTGCCTAGAATTACAGCAGCTGCAGGACATGTTTCTCTCTCATTGAATTGTATATAGCTTAGGACAGAAAAGAATAAAGTTATTTTATCTATTAAGCGTTCCCCTCTTTATTTCTAAAGCTTCTTGGTACAAGAAATGTGTAATCATGTTCCCCAAATTTATATCTCTCTAGCCTACTCAAGTTTACACTCTCTGTTCTTCTGAAGCTGTGGATAGTAAAATGCATCTTAGCATAGGACTACTTTTAAACATGAAACTTCAATGTGGGTAACCAATGGACCGTCAAGTCAACGTGTCATTGTTTTGAGGTGAGATAGGCTAACTTCTGTACCTCTCTCTACTTCCATGTATCTCAATCTTTTTTCATTTAATTTCATAGGTGAATAGTGACATTGTTTTCTCAAGAATGGAGAAAAATGGAACCCAAGTGATAGAAAAAATTGACACAACCCATATTGGGCAGTTGATTGTGACCAAGGAAGTTGGAGGTGATGGAATGGTGGAGATTACTGAGGAGTACAAGTTCCGAGAAGGTAACCTGAAATGGGGTGGGACCATACCAGTGTACATGTACCTTGATCAGATCTTGCATGATGGATTTGCAAATGTCTGGCACCAAGGGATCTTCATGAGAAGGTGCGAAAGTGCCCTCTGGAACTCTTTATTTGTAAGTCCATCCCAGAAACACCATGGACGCCTTGATCACAAGGCACAAAGAGAGCACAAACTTTGCCACTCAGAAATGCTTTGTACTGAGTAAGCTGTTGTCATGGAGCAACTCAAAGCATTCAAAACAATTCAAGGTTTTCTTTTCTGTACAGCTGTTTAGACACTTCTTACTCAGGCCAGATGTTTGCAAAGAGTAAATCAATGTGGCCATATTGATAGGAATTCAGCTACACCAATTTGTCCGACATGGCTTAAATACCAACTCACTTGGAAGCTGTGAAGTTCTCTTAATACTAACATTACCCCAGGAAGGTTCGCTGTCCTCATTCAGTCATTTCAGCTACTACAATCTATGGAAAATGCACCCTTCTGAACAGTAGGTGGGCTAATGCAGTATTCCTGTTTCTTTTCTAAATCTGATTTTCATTTATTTCTAGGCTCAGATGAGGAGAGACTGGCTCTAGAGACTGCTGTGATGTATGGAGTTAAAAAGCAAACTACCCGAGATACCACGTATCAGCCGCAAACAGATATTGACATGGACTTCCAAGTGCAAAAGGCAGTCCTTGGCAATGACTTTAAAGTCACTATAACTTTCAGGAACAGAAGTCACAACTCCTACACTGCTACTACCTACCTTTCAGGCAACATAGTGTTTTATACAGGAGTCCCAAAAAGTGAATTCAAGAAGCACTCTTTCAGTGCAAAACTGGAACCGTCTTCATGTAAGCCTTGCATAGTTGTTTTCAAAACTGCTAGCTTTTTTTCTGTCTTATTAACTGTCACCAATGCTTTTACCCATGGTAGAGGCAATTCTAGTAGCTAGAGGTAGGATACTGTATTTGGTATCAGAAGGTTCTACTCCTAGCTCTGGCCCATATATCGTGGTCATTTAGAGCTGAGGCTGTTTTCTTCGGGTTGTTGCTCCCTGCATAATGCTCTCTTACACCAAGCCTCATGTCTGGGAATTGTTTATTTTTCTTATTTAGTACAAAAGAAAGCAAAGGAGCACAGATATTAAGCTGCAAGTTGCTGTTTTTCATACCTTTATTCTCCTAACAGCATCTTAGCAAGTGAAGGAGAAGGTCTGGTTCTACAGAGTATCATATACAGAGACAAAAAAGCGAATACTTCATCTTACCTGGTAGAAGCTGACAAGCTCTGAGTAGATTCAAGTGGATATCTGGCTTTGGAGGACTGGGTGGTTCAGGATTTTGTATTTACAGTGATCTGTAAAGTTTATATGTAACTAAAATGTGTCATTTTAGAGGAGGGACATCTATCAGCTGGGGAGTAAGAACACCAAAGGTGAGTTATCTTTACAGAGACAGCGTTTACTTTTCCTAGTGCCCTCTGAACTGCAGTAGGGACAGCCTGCCTCCCCCTTCTCATCAGAAAAGTGGTTCCTGGCAGGCTAGCTCAGGAAGCTGAAAGCAGTATTTTGCACTCCTCAAAGCAGGGGAGCGGGACATTCTCCTTTTTTAATTTGCACATAACTAACCTATTTCCTGTCAGCTGTCACAGCTCCAGTCAGAAAACAGCAAGGATTGAGGGACATGCTGTACTCTGAAGTCCTATCAAGCAGGCTGGCTGTAGATCCTTGCTTTCTCTAGCAACAAGTGACTGCCAATCAATTGTTCTCCTGACAGGCTTGTGTCCTTGGTCAGTGCCTTCAGATCAGCAGAAGTGATGAGAATGTCCTCTTATGAGGCTAAGTCAGAGGATCTTCCACTTGAGTTTGCTGCTGAGACTGTCAGGAGCAATGATTTTTCCTTCTTGACACTGCTACTGGGCAAAAGCAATCTTTCTGAGCACAGCAGGAGTGGCGGGACTTTGGGAGCCCGAAGGATGGGCCTCCTGATCTGGGTCTGCTGCTGGATCACAGCAACCCTAGCTGACCTCTGACCTTTCTCATCTGTCTTGCCGACCTCATCCCAGCCTAAGGGACACTGTGAGCCCTCTTTCCTCAGTTTTCCTTGGAGTTTTGTCTCAGTGAGAAGCCTCCATGGGACCCCAGTTCCTGTCATGCCATGAAAAAAATATCCTCTTTCTTCCTCACTTTGAGCATCATCTAAAACTGCATGTTTTATTTGGAGCCAATTAATCTCCATAAAGTAGAAGTCCACTTTATAGGGATCTACAGGCGAAGGTTAATAAAACATCTACCTCCGGTCTGTAACAAAACCCTGACAGCTGCTCACTGGTTCTTCTTAACTCCCTGGGTCATTTGCAGGGGTTCTGGAAATGATCACTGGGTTGTTCCGACACAGCCTATCAAAACACAGTGGTTTATAGTGGTTTATAGTAGCTTACATCAGTTACTAAATATTTGATCTGAAATACTTCAAAACTTTGGGAGACTTGGCCAGGTACAGTAAAAAAAAAAATTTTCAATGGTCTTGGCTAAATGCTGTGCCACTTCTTTGATGAGGAAAAATTCAGTCATCTTGTAGGAGAGGTGCAAATATCTACTACACTTTCTGGCTGTGATTTGTGCTTAGTTCCAGGACTTATTTATGTCTGCTCTTGCATCAGAAGTCTGTGTAACGTATTATTATCTAAAATACAGTTTCTGCAGTGCTTTGAGGCTCACCTATCTCCTCTTTGCAAGAAATTAAATGAATAGATGTTTAAGCATTCACTTAGCCCCATAATTCATTTTTTCTAAGTTAAGTAAATGGTTTGTAAAAAGCTTCTTGAAATCATGCTGGAAACTCTGAATTGAATGATGGCGAGTGAACGCAGACTGGAAAGAGGCACCTGAGAGAACAGAACATGGATTTTTATGCATATGTACCAAGAGCGTGTCCCCATTACTGCTTCTGGCCAATGAGACATTTTTTAAGATATTCCCACCTTTCAAGGTGGAAATTAGCTTATACCTGAGCTACAGTCATTGACTTGTGGGGCACTTTGTCCTGCAGCAGGACAAAAACCCCTCACAAATTACACCATCTCTGAAGGTGATACATGAAACTCAAGGATGAATTCTTTCTCCTTTGCCTCAGAAAGGAGTACACGTGCAATCAGGAATAATGTCTGACCAGATGGGCAGCATGAAGGGAGGCAGCATGGGTATTTCCAAGTGTATGAGAACATTCTGTCAGGGGTGTAATGGGAGAATACCTTCTGAGGCACTCAGTCAGGATTTGTAGGCTTTGTTCATGGCAAGAAGCGTGTGTGTATATATATATATATATGCTTTATATATACAGATATATATATGTAACAAAAACATTACAATACAATAAAGATGTGTCAAAGGCATTCTTCCAGCACATGCTGCTGAAAGTATGAAGGAGATAAGTTTTCAAACAGGAAACGAATAAATGATTTTCAGAATAATGATTAAAAGAATCGTGTGGGTTGAAAATCTCTTTGAGGATTTGAATAGCTTAAACCTTCCAGTGCCTTCAAAGGTGCTCTCGCATCTACTAAGTTATATTTAGTTTTCTCTGTTTTTTTTGAAAGGCTGTAAGGCTCTATGTTGTGTTTTCTTTGGGTTTCCCAGGTGCAGTAAGTGGTACTGGCAACTTACCAGCACAACCAGTGCTAAGGAAATGAAAGTCTATTTTTTTTTTTCCTGTTGTGGTTAAATTTAAACAGAAAAGGTTGTCTTTTCTTCCATTGTAAAGTAAATCTCTCTTAGATTGTAACTAATTTGTTTACTTATTTACTTCTCAGAAGAGAAATACCTTGCCTGATTTATAATTTACAGTTAAGGGCATTATGGGAAATTCTTTTACACAAGATAAAGCGTGAGAGGGAGGGAGCAGGAGCACATCAAGTAAATTTAAGGCTGGCCTAGTAAATCCAGGTCAGGTGGTCATCAAGGGAATAGCTTTGAAACCAAATCAAGGAACTGGTTTTGATGTGAGCAGATCAAAAGAGTAAAAAGGGGTGAATGTCATTTACCCAACTGAGTTCAATTATCTCAGTGTTTACAGTGTATGTCACAAATACAATACAAATAACAGACAACAGTAATCATCGTAGGTAACAGATGGGAGATCTCAATGTGTTTACTAGGGTTATAATGAATGTTTATAGAGACAAGAGCTTCACGTCTATATATTCTGCCTGGTCACTTTGTTAGCAGATCTGCCTCTCTGCATCACATTCTCACACCATTGTTGGCCTGGGAATTGCAGTTCAATATAGTTAAAATTAATGATTCCCTGCATATCAACTGTCTAGCCTGTGGGGACTTGTTCTTTCCAATAATTTTTGTCAGGGAGCACGTGAAAGCTCTCTGGAGGGCATGCTAGTGACAGGAAGATCTTCTTGCTAAATTTTGCAGACAAGTCCAGTGTAGAACAAAGGCAGATATCCAGAGATGCCCTGGAGAGCAAGTGGTCTCTCACCTAGCCTGCATGGGCTCACAACCCCCCGTTGCTGCTCTGGTGGCATCCCTGTTCCAGGAATAGAGGCAAAAGAAGCACAGGAATGAAGTGAAAAAGCAAACATTTACAGGAGTTACATTTAAAAGCTGTTTTGGACCTTTATGCCCAGTAGATATGTATTGCCAGTCTTCCTTCTCACTTATTTTGTAGTAGTGCTTAGAAACTTTCAACAGTGACCTGAGCCCATGCTGAGGGTACTGGGCAGAGGCTGTGTATAAACCCTGTATAAACCTTTTTTCCAAGGCATTTACATAACTAGCACTGGCCATGATGGGGAGGAGCAATTAGTGATTAGACTGCTTCAGATGCCTTTTTTCTTTCCTGTTTCTCCCCTCAGCTAGCTCTTTCGATGTTGTGATCAAATCCAGTGAGTACATGAGTGATCTGCTGGAGCAAGCCTCCTTTCATTTCTTTGTGACTGCACGGATCAATGAAACGGGGAAGATTCTGGCCATGCAGAAGGCGACCATCCTGGAAATTCCCACCCTGCGGATCAAGGTAGCTCAAGGTTGTGGTGGAAGTGAATGACCACTATGTTGCACACAGGCTATTCTCTACAAGGCTGTCACATTGACTTCTGGGATGGGGGAGTGTATGTGTGTGTGTGTGCACATTAGACTGTCAGTCTAACGTGGACCTTATAAAACAGCATCTGCCTGGAGTATATGAGGGTTTATAGGTATGTTATATATTGTATTGAGTATCCCTACGTTGAAGACGGAGGCTGACAGCAGCACTGGCAGTAAAGAGCTGAAATGATCTCAGTGGAGGAAGGAGGGGAAAAAATCTGAAAAAGCTGGAGAAACTCTAAGAGAGAGAACTCACTCAAGTCACTCAAGTCTTTAACTACTTCAAAAGTCTATTATATTTAAAGCACATAGAACAGAGGCCTCTTGCTGAAGAATGAAGAACGCTGCAGTTAAAGTGATTTTGCTTGAAGATCTTCTGCAGGTACTGTGGAAAGTTTCTCCAAACTTGGATGAGCAGCATTGATTAGGGACAATGCTTTTTGGGTTTCAGTGCTTTGCTGCCGCTCTGTGAATGTCAGTGGTGTTCCCTGAAAGCTGAAGCATTTCTACATGGTACCTATGAAAGTATAGAAGTGTAATGATTGTGACAGGACAAGGAGCTTTGTTGCACAGCAAAGACAGGGTTGAGACTTAGACTTCTCAATGTATAACTGAGCATGCAAACAAATTGTCTCGTTTTCAAAAGCACCAAGCCTTCATCTGCTTTGAGTGTTGGAAACTGGACCTGCTTTTCTCAAATACTAAAAAGAAATTAAAATACCTATTCAGGAAGCATGAATGAGTGACCTTGTAAGAAATCTAAGTTTATGTACCTTTTCCCCTCTACATATTTATTTGAACCAATGTTCAGGTTTCCATGTAATAATGTATGTAGGAACTGCAGCTTCCTGCAGAAAAAGGCTTTTAAAAATGTAGATCAAAATTACAGTGAAGTTTGCAAAAAAATCCATTCCATTTCGTGGTCTTCAGAAACGTCACAGTGTTCTGATCAGATAATTTTATTTTAAAACAAAATATTTTTGGTCTACTGAGCATTCTAGAGAGGAGGTAAACAAGACAGAAAAACGCTACTTCAAATAACTGTCTTCAATAGCCATATTTTAAATTTAAATATTCAATTCAATACTTAAACAGAACATCTTATACAGCATTTCAAATTTCAGCTTCCAAATAGTTTATCCTCCCTGCTGATATGAAGGAAGGATGTTTAGTATATAGGATAGGCTGTTGTCCAAGAACCATGTTTTCTAGTAAAAGTGAGTTTGTCTCTTCACTCTTTCTTTGTGATGTGTGAAAATATGCTGGAATTTTAATAGCTGAATTTTTTTAATTGTGTGTGTGCATGTATATATATCTGTGTATTGATAGAGGAAACTTAGCTTTATTGCTTTTTAAAGAAATCTGAGAAAGTTTATCTCCAAGTTTTCTTGTCAGATTTCTTCATTGAATGTGACTGACAGACTAGATTTCTTAATGTGAGAGTGAGAGAGAGGAATGAAAAAACGTATTTCCCCTCACATCTTTGAATACACCTTTGAGCTTTCTCTGTTGGTCTAAGGAGATTGTCAGACTTAACAGCTGAAGAAATTACACCACATTCTAATATAGCTTGAGAGCAGATTACAAAAATCAGCTCAGCAAATAGATACCATGGTCTCAGTTGCATGTGTGGGACTTCAAGATGATTTTGAATCCCCTCCAAGTAACAGTGTTCTTAAATGGTCAGTTGAAACAAGGAGGATGTAAGATCTCTAATTGGTCTAGGACTGATGCCAATGATGTCATTTGCAAATTCAGGTGCCCAAATGCTGTTGAGAGCTTAGCTGTATCCCCTCCTTTACTCCAGTCAATGTATTAGTATTTCGTGCACAGCGATCCCTTAGACCAGAGTCTTTGCAGCTTTTTGCAACTGTCATACTCCTATAAAAGAGCAATTTAAATTTATTGACAAGATACTTGTTCTTCTTAGTTGCCTTTCTCAAGGCCCTTCAAATCAGTTCATGGACCATGAACTGGGCTGACAGATCTGCCAGCCACCAGCTGAAAACCCATGCCTGAGCAAAACAAGCACACATATTCTGTGAGAAGTGCTGTATTTCCATGGGGAAAAAAAACCAAATCCCTACGCATGGAGCCTTTGTTTAAAACCACATTCATTTGGAGATGTTTTCAAGACAGCTGTACTACCGGCACTGATCCAAAGGGACAGACAGATCCCTTCAGCTATGTACTGTAATACACAAGGAAGTCAATGTGATCACTGTTCATTAGTCTCACAGTTTAATATTTTCCAGTGCAAAATGTGTTGCTTTTTTGCTTCCATAGGCGTTTGGAGGAAAACTGGCCCTCGTGTCTCTGTAGAGAACACATGCAGGGTTAGAAACCCTTCAGAGCATGAGAAGAGGTTACAAAGCAAGGGAAAGATGGGTACAACACTTTTGAGAGGTGCAGGCAATGTAGCCTGGTGTTTCTAATTTAGGATAGTAAGACCCTGCCCTTCTTTTCTGGAGCTTATGTCCTGAGCAGATCATGCTCTTCAGTGCTGGTGGGGAGCCTGAGCAGACCATGAACTTCAGTGCTTCAGGTCTCTTCATTTCAGTGGGGAGCCTGAGGAGTAGGGCAGAGTCTGGGAGAGAGGCCCCCTTAGCTGGACTCACCCTCTGTTGGACCTCAGCTCCAGAACTGTCAACATGTAGACTTCTGGTTTTCTATGGAAATGAGGGCCTGCCTCCTGACTGCCGTGTAGCTTAGGGAAAGTTGCAGTGGGTAGAAAAATGGGCAATGGTACCTGTGAGCTCATGCAACAATTTTCTTCTGACTAGTCTTTTTTGCCTCATGCTGTTTTGCTGGGTGCTCCATTGCCCTTCCTCTTCTGGCTTGCAAATACTGCGTATTTAACCCTGCAGATTTTACTATGGGACATTTTGTTACTATCAGTTTGTGGAGAATTGTCATTTCCTTGTCTTGCAGACCAAAGGTGAGCTGGTAGCTGGTAAAGAAATGTCCGTGATTGTGGAATTCACCAATCCTCTGAAACAAACCTTGGAGAACGTCACACTCCGCCTCGAGGGACCTGGTGTTCTGAGAACGATAAAAAAGGAGTTCAGGTAGGGAAGAAAGCACAACTAGCTGGGAATTCATCCCCTGCTTACTCACGGGAGGAAGTTCACGAGACATCTAACTAATGCTGTGCTGAGTTATTTAATTCAAACACTCTGTACTTTAAAATTCAATGCACAGGGGAGCTATAGGCCTCAATAGTTGAAAGAGGTCAGGTTGTCCAGAAAAACAGCATTTCTTCTGTTCAGTACCAGGGTTGGAGGAAAGGTAGTGATTGTGGGTAGTTGCTAGTGCAGCTGAAGTTTACTTTTTCACTGTATTACATTATTTTTAGCACTTGACAATAGCACCTACAAGCCGCTATCACAGCCGCTATCCTACACATGAAGTGTTTACTGCCACTCGCTCAGTATGTGCAAATCAAGTCCTGTGCTGCTTTTCAAAAAGGACTTTTCTCTGCTCATGTTAATCATGATTATACAAGATGTTCAGGTACCTCAGATGATCTTTTCAAGCTTATGTCAAGACACAAAATGTGCGCTGGATGCAAAGCCTGCTGGCATAGCTGTGGTGTGTATGTGAGCACACAGCTCCCCCTCAGTAGCACCACTGCACAGGGCTGCCCTGGCACAGAGGAGCATTCCCAGCACACGGTGCTCCCAGGCCTGAGGAAAAGGAAAACCACATTCATTTTTCTCAGTCACACCACATGCTGACACCATGGTACCTGTATACTAAGCAAGTTGTTTCCTAAATCCTCTCTCCATTTGAGTTGAGTGTTATAAGCTTAGCATTAGCCAGTTCCAGGGTGTATAATGGAGATCCTTGGAAAATTTTGCGGCCATTGCTTAGTCTTGGGCAGCCAAAGCAGTGTTATCTGTCATTACCTGAGCTGATGGTCCCCAGGTGTGTGCAAAATGAGTTTGAAAAATTGCCTGTGTTCAGGAGCTGCATAAATTGTCAGCATCCTCTGCAGCTGGTAGGGGAGGTCTGGGCCTGACTGCACATGGGACAGGAATAAAAAGATCAAAACCAGCCTCCAGAGTGGAGCTGATAGAAAAATGACTGTGAAAGGGCATCATACTGGGCTTGCTTTGTGCACATGGTATGTCACAGGCACTGCTGAACATGACTCAGCACGGTCCACAGGAGTTACACAAGTTGAAGCAATAGCCTTCACTGCTGCCCAGCCATTCCCGCCCCCCCTGTTGTTCTGCATCCTTCTCAATCCAAAACCTGATGTGGGCTGCTCTCATCTTCAAGGATGCAAAAATTGTCAGGGGCATCAAAGGCACAGGAGTTAGGAAGAAAAATGACTCATGGAACAGACGTCATTTTCCTTTGTCACCATGTTTTCCTCTTTTCAGTAATGCCCTTGGCATCATTTAAAATGGAAATGGATCAACTTAGTCATTTTAAGATTTAACTTCTCTCAGATGAATGTAGGATGCAGGTGATACACACAGAGGACAGAGCAGGGGGCAGTTGTAGTTTATTTAAATAATAATCACATTTGTCTCCATGCATTCAAAGTGATAAATGGTTCTGGTGTGGTGATGGCTCAGCATATTATGCAGAACCATTCATCACTGAGTTCTCTCCCAGGAAAAATCAGATCAGGGTGGCTTTACTCCATTTGCAAGGAGAATTAAACACATTCTAGGCTTTCCCCATGCTTCCATCACTTCCCTGTTTATCAGGGACTGTCATATATGGAATGTAGCTTATTCCAGTTCTTTGTGGGGATAAGGCTTTTGAACTCTGTATTTTTAAGGTAGCTTTTTTGTATCACTTGTGTGACTCCACAAAACATGTCGCATGTGATCCAGCAGATATCACATTATTCTGGGAATGTAGTAGCCTGGGGGCTTCAATTTTGACCATTCATAAAATCTATGTATAGATATAGATATTAATATTTAGCTATTAGCCTCAGACAAATGAGGAGCATGACATGAAAAAGCCTTTGGCAGCAGCAATCCCTGCACGGGGCATAGTCTTTGCATGACAAATGAGAACTAACCAGGCCATGATGGATAGTGTTAAAAGGATTATAGCCAAGCATGCTTTCACACTAGCAGGTAAGTCATGTTGAGTGTTTCTACACATCAAAGCTCAGCTAGTATTAGCATTTGTAGAGAGAAGCAAGTTTTTTTAGAAATAGGACAGTAGAGAGACAGGAAAAGGTGGGTTTGGTTTCCCAGCACAGCTGTTGTCTTCCCGCACACATACACACACACACACACACACATATATATAAGTATATATATATACACAGAGAGGACAGCACCATAAAACAAGGATAGAAGTGCCACCCTCTCTCACTGAAGCACTGTAAAGATGCAGCCCAAAAACCTTCATCCCCAGAGAATCTGTCCCCCTGCAACTGCTCAAGAAGTGTAGCCTGCACAGCAGACTTGCGTAATATCTTCTTCACTTTCCATACAGATAATCTCTTGCAGATAATTCCCATAAAATCTACATCTTAAAATATATTTAACCTTCTGCAGCAATTGAAGTCACTGCATTTTCATGCTACCGTTTTACTGGGCATCTGGTGGATGCAGGCAGGCCAGCCAAGGGGAACAGAATACCTCTCATTAATAACAAAGATAAAGAGAGGATAAACACCTTCTGGAAGCAGTCTGCACATGCTCTTACCAAAAATATGGTCTTCCTTTACTTTTTTTTCCTAAAACTAGGTACATGCCCCAAGGTACCTATGAGCATATATGTAAAATGCAGTGCAGTGCCATGCTAAGCTAACCTCCAAGGAGCTAGAATACCTCTCGTTTTACCAGGGGCAGACTTCACTGAGATAAATATTCAGGTGGGAGGATTCCAGGCTAGCTCATTTAGAGCTAATTAAGGTTTCTTGTCTTGTGGCAGCTTGTGCTAAGACTGGGCAGTCATTTCTGTCCTGACCCTGGCATAGGATATGGAACCTGAGAACCAAATCCTATCAGATGAGAATTTTAAACAGTGACTGAAGTATAGGCTTACTTTGCTCTCACTTTGTTCAGTTGTTTGCATAATACTATAGTTGTATGAGATAAGAACACTGCCTAAATTTATAATCCTCTTATTTAATGATGAGGAAAAGAACATTCATTTTAATAAAGAGCTCCCCACAACACTACCTTTTGCACTGGTTCCTTTGGAGCAGTTGTATCCTGACACCTCCCAAACACAATCAATCAATCAATATCAGCCTTCAAAATCCTTGCACAGAACTTAGTGAAGGCACTGAGAACACACAAAACCCCAATACTTGAGGCTCTCCATGCATCTTAATCATAGCAAAAAATAGAAAATCAAAAGCAGTGCAGAATACAGTTGCTTTATAGTATGAGTTATCAAGAGTCATACATAACGTAACATGTAAAATGCAAGAGTAACTGTTAACAGCAGGAGTCCCAAGAACACTTTTACTTACTTGTAAGGACTTGAAGGAGTCATCTGAAGTGGCTAGTGAGGAGATCTGTTGATATTACAACTGGTGGAGGGTGGTTCAGAGCAGGAGCTGGTAGAGGGGTTCAACATCTCATCAGTGCTGCATTAGGCTTGCATGGGAATGCCCTGAACACTTCATAAAAAGAATTTGTTTAACCATTTAAGGAATCAGCAACAGGTTATAGGCTATAAAAAACAGAAAAAAATGGAATTATAAAGTAGAAAAATATATGTTAGATATAAAGAAGGTCATTCTGAAGATGATGAAGAGACAGAAGTGACAGGAGGCAGAAGAAAATGGATTAATTTTGGAAATTTAAAATTAGCCTGGAGGAAAGGCTAGAAAAGGCTTTGACAGAGTCAGTTATGAGAGGAATAGAAGACAGAGGGAGTAATTTATTGGACATTTATGAGACTGAGTGAAACATAAAAAAATTTGGGACGTGTCATACTATCTACCTTCAGCTTCTCTGTTGTGTGGCATGTTGAGAGCACTGGCCAACTGATCACAATATTGTAACTTTTCTTTTTTTCTGCAGGAGTATCCCAATGAATTCTACATTGACCTGGGAAGTAAAATGCATCCCAATGCGACCAGGCTTGCGAAAGCTGATTGCAAGCCTGAATTGTGATGCTTTGAGGCATGTGTATGGTGAGCTGAATGTCCAGATTCAGAAACCATGAAACAAGGTGCTGCCTTCTTCTCCCATTTAGCTGTATTTCAAAATATCATGGTAAGGGTATGGCAGAGGAAGAGGTGTAAATTTGCTTAGTGTTATTTTGGTCATCCTTGCATTGAAAAAAAATTGATATAGAAAACTAATTGGCAAGGCTGGGGAGAGCATGAAAAAGCACCTGGATAGTGAATGATTTAAAATGTAATTAAAGGCAATTCTAGGTCATATTATTCCTATAGTTCACCTGTATTTATGGTCTTTTGTATTACTGCTTCAAGAGAATTTGAAAAGCTCCATTCAGCTCCATTCATGTTTTAATTAAGGCCTGATATTTCACTGAAAAGGGAATAAAAAAAAAAAGAACCCAGTATTATAAATGCTTAGACTGAATTACACAACATTATGGTAGATCATTCAGGCTGCAATAGAAATGAGTATTTCTAGCTAAAGGGTCTGCTTTATCTTACAATGTAATAATGTTCAGGTTCATAGAGAGCTGGCTTTGCTGGAAGTATCTCAGGATGTGTTATCTCCAGAATATTCTCAGCCTCTTGTTTCCTCTTGCAGCTTCCCTATGCTTTTTCTCCTACTCTTTCATGTGTGCAGCCACCCACACATACTCACTTCTGTATTCCATACCCTCATCCCACCCCGTGTGCTGTTGATATGCTGTTCTTCTTCTTTGCTTGGTGAAAATCCCTGCTCAGAATTCATCACACCAAACTTGCATTTTCTGGTGTATCACATCTCTTGTGTTCTCCCTTCTTCACCCTTTTCTGTCTTTTTTCCTCTCCTGAACCCACTCTGTAAACCCATTTCCCCTCATGAGCATGTATTGGGGGTGTCCATCACCCCAGAGCAGTTCAGATTGTTAAATGAGGTGAAGAAGAGAGGAGTGGAGGGGGGAGCCTGAGAGTCTTCTCCTGCCAGTCCCACAACCCTAACAAATATCCTGCACTGGAGCTGGGGGTGAGTTTAGACCAAAAATCTGGAGATGAGTTTAGATTAAAAAGTGCCTGAAAGTTCCCAGGAATCATGGCTACTTCAAAGTGAAGTCCTGTTACAAGAGTAACCCCAGAAATACATAGCTCAGCTGGAAAAGGAATAAAGATGTATCCTGAGAGTCAGAAATTCCACAAGCTGGATCTGCTTCCTGCCTTTCTCATGGCATGTTCCTCTGTGAGGTGCAGTGGGGCCTCCTAAGGCATCGCTCCTCCCTTGAGGACCTTCTTGCCCAGAAGCTGCTCTGAATCTGTCGTTTCCAGTAGTTTTCCATTCAGAGTACTGCTCCATACTAAGCCATGTACCCCACTGCGCTAGGGCACCAGGGGTGGGGGTGGGTGTTCATTTCTCATCTTCCCTAAAATACTTTTTGGGATCTTTTTCCCACAAGACAAAGGTGCAACTACTCTCCACTGGGCACAGTGTGTAAGAGCATATCCTGTACGAACAGCACGGGTGAACTAACTGAATTTCTAAAGAAGTCAAAAGGAACCTCTTGCTCTTTAAACATTGGGGGGTTGTTGTACCACGTATGGCCATGGCATTTGGTGGTCTCAGTGAAAAGCTCCCTTGTTGCCACACATTGCCCACATTGCCTCCTGCAAAACCTGTGACCAGCTGTTAAAAATAAGCAAGTCCTGGAGGGGGGAGAACTGCAGGCTGTTATTTTACTAAAGTGTGTGGAACAAAGCAAAAATTCATAACACCTCGTATACTCAGGGAGTACCCTTGGATCCAGGAAAATCAGACTTTTTGGGGCTTTCATGTCAGGCCTGGGCACACTCTCATTTTGTACAGCTTATGTGACCACATTAGAAACTTTGCAATGTCGAAGCCTCCCATATAAGTCCTCTGGGGTACAAGAGACTATTGTAAGTGCAAGGTGACAATCTATATTAAGAAATTAAGCAGTTTTACCAGGGTCTACATCTTCTAATAAAATTATCCATTTGCTCTTGCATATAAACCTGCTTTCCATTCCAAACATTGTATAAATACAGTGTAATAAGAATTTAAAATAAAGTGTGTCTGTTTGCACTTTTGTCTTGTGTTCTGTATTTTGATCAAATACTTCTTCTACCTAGTAGCACTATAGATACCAGCTACTGCATTTTAATTGTAAAAATTAGAAAATTCACTTCTGAGCCATGCTAATAAAAGTGCTTTCTTTGCTGGTAATGAGAAAAAGCTATATTTATTTAAATGTAAAAAAAAAATTACAGGCTCAGTTTAACTATTTTCCTTTGGTTTTCCTTCCATTTCAACAACTGACTACCTAATGCATTGGAGAAGGTGATAGTTTCCAGAGCACATCACTAGTGCCAGCAAAGAGAATCCCTAGATTTCTCTGGAAATTGCTTTAACAGGTCAGAGCCCATTAAGAGGCTAGTTTCCCCCTAATGAAACCTTACCTAATCCCAATTCTAAAGTGACATTTGCCAAGAAACGTGAAGTATTTTTATTTATAGTTTATAGAGGGGTATATTAAAACAAAAAGAAGTAATGGCTGGGAATAGAGACCAGGGATGTCAACAGACCTTGGCATCATCAGCCTGCTCACTCTGTACAGAGTAGCTCACAAAAACCTAAGGACAAAATAAGGATAGCCTCTAAGATTTCAGCCTCTCATCAACCTATGCATGGACTGTTACATGAATCATGAGCAAAACGTGACTGAAGAATCAGTGAGTGCTTGTATCAGGGGTTAATTATGCTGATACTTTTGGTCTGTGTTTGGCCTCGCCACCTGTGAAAGTTAGTTACTCTTTCCCTGCCAAGTTATGGCAAAACAAGCACTGATAAATGGGAAAGTTGTCCTTAAAGAAAGCTTCTTGCATAAACTGTTTTAATTGGTGTTCTGTGATTGGCTAATTGTCCTCCAAGGTCACTTGAAGGAGAATTTGAGGAGGAGGAGGATGAAGTAGCGCCCCTAGACTCAATTAAGAATGACCCCCCCAAACGTGCGTGAGGGGATTTCCAAAGTTCTCACGGGTGTGCAGAAGAGATGCACTTACATAACTGGGAGGTGGGACTGAGGACCTCTGGCTGGGCGGTGCTGGCCACACCTGGGAGGTTGTGGTCACTCAGTTAATTGTATAAAAGCAGATAGTACTTTCTTGGCGGGGGCTAGCTTTACTTTAAGGACAACGTTGCCTTTTGGCGGGGACGCCTGCCAGTTTGTGAACTTACCAACTCTCCAAGGATGCAGCTTCTGCTCTGGGTAATTATAGGCATGCTAGATCATAAGATAACTTTATGGGCAACAGCTGGGTAACTGGGGAGGTCATGCTGGGGGCTTATTTCTCTCCTCCTTCCTCCCTTTTGGGTTTGTTCATTTTGTTGGCCACCTCTTGGTAATAAATATTGGTTTTTGTTAAGCTTTTAATGGTGTCATGGTTTCAAGATTCAGTATGTCTCGAACCCTCCCTAATACAGTGCTGTGATTGCACTTTATGTACACATAGGACATAATCAATCAAAAATAAGGTCAGATTGGCAACTTCAGATCTGGAGGAGCTTCGAACATGAAAAAGTTTCTGATTTCAAAGTCTTCAGCTGAGTGTCTTTTTTGAGTTGGCTGAACTTGTGTCCTCAGTACAACCGTCACATCTCAGAGATGCACTGGGGAGGAAACAGTCCAAAACCAACCCCCTTTCCTCCACAGATCCCATAGTCCAGAGAATTTGGCCAGAGAAGCCAAATACAAAAAAGTCTATGTGCATTCCTGAAAGCACACTTCATTTGTTATCAACTTGTTGCATCCAAGCTGCAAGGCAGGTTGCTTCAGTACCCATCAGTTTCTGACATTCAAAATCTTGTTATGATCAAAAGAAAGCACACGTTACAGGCACACCTAGGAAGAATATATTGTTACCCTTGCTAAAAATAGCCTAATCAAAGAATTATTATTAGGTGAAATAATTAGGATAGAATTATATTCTTATATTTTTATTACAATGATACCAACACGTACAGTTGAAATTATGTCAAGTAAAACTGGTACATATAAACTTTCTAGCATACTCCTCTTTCTCTGCCTTTTTCTGCACCACTATACTGCCCCTATGATGTCTTCAGTCTGGGCGGGGGCCTGTGTAACAGCAAGTCACCAGTGTCCCAGGTTCTCCACCAAGCAATTGTTCTCCACCCAGCAATTTACATGTGTTGGGTATACGTTGTTTGTCCTCCTTTGTTACACCTAGCATTTGTCCTACCTACCTGCTAATGTTGTACCCTTTGACAACCAGTAATTAACCACTGGTGAGCTATTTGTAGTCTGCAGCCTCCAGCAGCATCCCACACCTACACTGTCAGGGCCCCTGTTATCACACCATCCTAGTGAACTTTCAGGCTGCATTTTATTTTGCAGTCATAAATAGTTCATTCTACACAGAATAACTACTTGCTATTACCATCTACTAGTTACAAAAAGTACATACAACAACAAACATTTCACCGTGCAATTGGATAAAGCAATGTAAAAATTAAAACAAAGTCAGTAGTAGATACCAGGTCATTAGATAATTGCTCTTACAGCTAAAAAGCCTAACAAGTCCCAGTGTCTGTGATGGTATCTTATCATCAAGCTGTGACCTTTCACAAGCAATAGCAGTATCTGATTTGTGGACCAAAACAAGAGAATGTGACTGAGCATTGGCTTTTCTAGTGACTGGTACTACCAGTGATAATTGGTTTGAACTGAAACTAATCAATAAATGCTCTGCCAAACGGGTGACACGCCTGGGCCCTTGCAGTTTTCTGCTCCTGGGGACTTGATTTCCTGCTATACCCTTTCCTCAGCATATTACTTTCATGTTTGTCCTTGTTTTTCTTCAGGAGGAGGCTGTGGCTGCTGGTACTACCCTCTGAACTTGAGTGATGGCACAACAGAGGAAGATAACCAGATCAGAGGGTGTGGGAACACTATCAGAGCTTATTCAAACCAAAATTAATAGCCCTGTTATGAAAGAGGAAAGTCAAAAGTATACTGTGAGTGTTGATGGAAGTAGAGGGATTGTCTTGTATATTGGAGTTGGCATGATAGTGATGCTGAATTGTGCCCCAAAAAAGGCGCAGAGGAACTGCTCAGAAACAAAGTTTTAGTCTTTAAGCAACGAGGTATTTATTCAAGCAACGTTGGGGAACTCCCAGCTTGCGCTGGACAAAGAGTTCCAAAGCAGGCAGTGAACAGCTGGACTATTTATACAATTCTTGTGAGAGATTATATCATTTTACATGAATATTCATAGTATTGCAAAATCTAGTTATAATATTCATAACAGGTGGAGTTAGGGCGGAGTCAGGGGTGTGGTCTTCATTTTGGGGAGAATCTCGGTGGTACATCCGGTTACTTCGGCCTCTTTCTTATTCCTCTCCCTCAGTAAACTTTTGAACTTCCTCTAATTTGGCTGACTCCAACCTGTATTTGGCAGGGATTTCTTGATATTTGGCAAGAGTTTCTGGACCCTGGCCCTCCTTTTTCCTCTTATCTTCCAGTGTTCTTTCCATATATCTATTTATATGTTGTTAGCATTTTTAATGTTCTGTTATTTCCTTACTTTATGTTCTCTTTGTGTCAATGTGTCATATTTATGTATGTATTATTTTCTGTTAGTCCTTGAGTTTTAGTTCTTCATTTCTTCGCTCAGGGTATGCATTCAGAGTTAACTCTTCAGGCCTTGTTTTGCTACACTACATTAACTTTTCAGGCCTTGCTCTGTTTCAATAGCTGATAATGAGTAAAGATGAGATATGCATGTTAGAGAAATGTATATTTGAGTAGTACCTGTAATGCAAGACAGTGACTGAGAGAAGCTGAGAGGCTTTGACGTGCAGGTGAAAGGGATTTACTCAGTGCTTAAAGGCAAAGTTGAAAAGCTTGAGTTGAGTATTGAAGAAAGAAAACAAGGACTGCAAGCTAAAGAGGTAAAAGATGGCCAAAATGATGGAAAGGGAAGACTCCTGGTGGAGAGAGGTGGGAGGAAGAGAAAGCTGTAAGAGAGGAAGGCCTCAAGGCTGTTTTGCCTACCGTAGAGAACTGACAGGAGACACTAGCAGTGGTGGTAAAAGGCAGACCTCTTGGCCATCACTGGGGCTGGACCTGTGCTGGCAGAACAGGCGTTCACCCCCTCCATAGATTGGTGAGCAAGCCCGTGCTGAGGGCCTCGGATAGGCTCAGGAGCAAGCTTCATCTGCAAGGCCGGCAAGTCATGGGGAAAGGAAAGTCAGAAGCTGGACTGGGTGATGGAAAACTCGGCACTGTGAGTCAGTCAGAAGTTGAAAACCAACTGCACAGCTGAGTGTGCACTATGAGGAGATCCAGGCTGGACTCAGCCTTTTCCTCAAGTCACCCACAGCCCAACTCACACGTGGTTATGCTCATGTGATCTCCACAGTATTAGTATGGGAATTATTACCCAGGGACTCCTTGTTACTGCTCACGGAACTCCTGCTTGGGTTTTGGCTAACACAGAGTTGACACTAGGGCCTGATACAGCACCATTAGGTCAAAGCTAGGGCTACACGCAGGCAGAACATGATGGACAGGAAGGGGTAGAGGTCATTATGCACCTGCTATCACCTGCAGCTTGCTGTGTCTTGCAGCCACAATCCTGGCGTATTGATTGTATGACAGTTTCTTCAGAGTCTGCTAACTTACGGAAAAAGTGTAGATCAAACATCCAAGCTGTAAGTTATAAAATACATGAGCTTACCCAAAAATCTTCTGAGGCAGATCTAACAGCAGTCAGACTGCTGAGGCTTTTGTGCTGACAGGTGTGATACAGGGGACACCCAAAAAGTGATGAAGGAGGAACAATGAGCATTCTCAATGCCAACTAGGTAACTGTTTTGCTTATTGCTGCATGAGTTGTGAGTTATGGGTTAGAGAATTGTGAGTTTGAAACATCACAAATTACGTGATGAATCAGTGAATTGGCATGTTAGACTAGTTTGTACAAAGTCTGAAGTGTCTGTTTTCTTTCCTAGTGTGCTCATAAATTAAAGTTTAAATTACATTGTCCTGTAAATTTGAGCAA